TCCGTCTGAAAAGTTTGCTCCAGAGATTTGTCTCGGCAACCCTCCGTTGGCAAGGATATATAATATTTTGCAGGTCCTGTTGCTCCACTCAGCTGCTGCTCTGCTTTGCTCTGCTTATTGAAATGTTTTTCCCCATCTTGCTGGGGTCTCGTTATCCAATGGACCAGCCAAAGGACCAACCAAACCGACCCACCCACCCATCGGCTGCTGAGGAAAATACCTCGCCGGCAGGCCAAACGCTTAATGCCAATTAAGAATATTAATTTAATTTGCAGCCCTAGCTCGTTTAGTCCTGTTCGCTTCGGTTCAGTTTGGACCGGTCCTCCTTCTTCGATCCCCTTTCCCCGCCTCTCCTCTCTTTTTGGTGCCCAATCTTTGACCATTTGTCGGATGCATCTACTTCTACACAGGGAGAAGTGGGTTGTAAGATTAAAAGTGAATATAAAGTGAGCTGCAGGATGAAAGGGGAGGTTAAAGACAATTTCAAATATATTTATCTGAATACTTTAACCAGCTATCTTTTAAGGAAATTCTTATGTTTAAAATTGAAAATTCTAGAATACAAAAATATTTCATATTATTAAATATATGCTTTATTATATTTTCTTGTAAAAAATCTTTTATTTTTTGTTTCTTCTTCGAGTGCACATCTCTCTCGTTTCTCTGAGTGCACTCCAAAGTGGCTGCCTCCTGCTCACGGCAATTGTTAATATTCATTAGCTTTAAATCCTTTTCTCGAGTTGTAGCCATTTCGTAGTTCAGCAGCAGCAGGAGCAGCCACTCCAGAATCCAGAATCCGAGAATCCGAGAATCTTTTTTGGGGGAGGGAAATGCGAGTTTTTCGGTTGGAGAGAAAGTTGTTGCCACGTTTTCAATTCGAATGCCCGGGCATTAATCGCAATCAACAGGACTCGCAGGACGAAAACGATGGCAACGACGATGGCCAAGACGTGCGGATAATTTTTCATTTCGACCAGTTGAAATGGATTTCTCATTGGCTTAAAAGCGCAAATGAATGGATGATATATATTCAGATTCAGATGCGTATTCAGGATCTATTCGAGGGTCATAGTTTTGTGGGTGTTTATTAATGGCTCAAAGGCTTTACGGGGTTTCTCTTTCTCTCTCTCAATTTTTAAGTACTTTTGAATATTTATTTATAACTGCAGTTTTTATTTTGCGATTTTATTATGTCAAAGTCAAAGAGCTCGTGGCGAATGCAAAGTGTCATTATTGAAATACGCAGAGATATTTCAAGGTTTTTATCGATTTTGTCAATGAGGCCACAAGCGAGAGAATCGGAGGTGCCGACCAGCGATGGAATCTCAATCCCATTTCCAAGTCCGGACCATTGACGACAGTTTGCTGCCTTTCATTAGCCGAGCATTTTTGTCCGCCTGCTTTCCGCTTGCCGCCTTTCCTTACCACCCACCCAACCCCACCCACTTTTATATGAGCGCTTTTCCACCTTCTCGTTTTCGTTTACGTTTTCGTTTTGTCTCGGCGGCAAAGTCCAGTCCTCTTCAAAGGCAGTCGACATCGAAATTAATCACATTTGAATTGAAATTGCGTTTCAAGTTCTGTTACGTCTTGCTTGGCTTCGTTTTTCATTCGTTTCATTTTTATTCGGCGTCTCTCGCCATTATTTCTGTGGTCACTCATATTTGGTATCAAACGATTCTAATTACGGATGATTGCCCCTCTTTTTTTCGGACCCAAATGTCTCGAAATCGCTTTGTATAATGTTCGGCATATCAAAAGGTTTTGACAATCCTTTGCCCAGACAAATTGTTTGCCGATTGATTTTCTGCAAACTAACAATCAATTAATTTAAATACTCCAAAATCTAAGGTAGAATTTTTAAAGCCCCAATTCAACAAGCAAGCATTTGCGTAAGACAATAGTCTGGCTAGAGATAAACTTTCAGGACATTCAAGCCGTTTTCATTGTCGAAATCTTTTGGCCAGTGGCAAATCTTTAGCAGACACTCTAGAAAACCAGCAAAATGGAATTGGAATTTCCAATGATTTCGCCAAGTTATTTGATGAACTATAAGCACAAAGCCGTCTCAACTTTGGTTTCCATTTCAAGACACGATTTTCACTGCAGATTCTCTTAAGACTGCAGTCGGCAAAATGATTTGCAATTCAATTTCGCCACTTTGCGCGTCCGCCATTTCTTAGTTTACTTATCCCTTATTTTCCTGCTGAGTTACTTAAAATATTTGCAGGCGTTAAATATCATGGCAACACCATGAAAAGCATTTTTTTATTTTTTTAACAATTTATTACGTATTCTTGTGAGACTTAACTGTTAAATGGGAACGAATTCTAACAGGTTAGGAATTTAAATCTCTATGGAAATCATAAAGATTTTATATTTTCCAACGTAGTTTTAGTTAACAAAAGCAAATCAGACAAGTGAAATGCTTGGAAAATTGTTTTCAAATTGCAGTGTGTGTGATTGTGTGTAAGGATACACACCCACACACGCGGACACGCTACATTTAACGGTAAATCAAGCGTGTATGACAAAATTTGAGTAGCGCGTCAAAAACAGAGCACAAAACGTGCACGAAACGCGCACAAAACGCGTACAAAACGCGCCCAAGCAGCGGAAAAAACGCGTTGAAAGGAGCGGCGCAAAAAAAAAGGCTATTAGGCAAAAAGTCGCGTAAACTTTGACAATTGACATGGAAAATCTGCAAACCGGCAATAAGCCAGGCCAATAACATTCCATCTCGCTCTAAAATGAGCAACACACGCAGTTGGGGCAAAAAAGTACAGAAAAAAAGAAATTACTACAGAGAAAAACAAGTTCCATCTGATAAGAATTTAATTACAATGCACATAAACAAAATGTATACAAATGTATTAAGCACACACGCACACCAACGGACAATGGCAATTGCTGTGCGATGGAGCGAGACAGCAGATTTGATATCCAAATAGGGCCTCCGGTCAAAGTTCTACTTTCCTAAACTTTTTCTGGGGAATTTTTAATGCTCTACAAGCTGGTCAAGTTCCAAAAATAATTTTTGGGACAATAATAAGAATACATAATACTTGTCAAGCAGTTTGAATATTCTAACCTTTAGAGAGAGACTATAGTACTCTGGACAAATGTGGAAATAAATACGTTTTACCCCATATTATCCCTATATATTAACTATTTTTTTTGTGTGTAGTCCAATTTTACTAAACTTCTATACAACCCTTTTAAAAATAGAGTGTAAGCGGTGTATAAAATCGTATAATAATAAGCCAAACCCAAAGCAGAATCTCCGGGCAATCTTTTTGCGCCATAATGACAGCCGCAGACACAAAAACGGACAGCAGCAGAAGTAGAGGCACAGACCGATTCAGATTCAGAACGAGAATCAGCGACCGAATCGGAGACACAAAAATCGAAATCCGTATCCGAATCGGGATAGGAATTGCCATTGCGATTGGGAGCTGAATGCAAATAAGCAACAAAAAATACAACAAGAAAAGGCAGAAAAACAGTACCAAAAAAAAAAAAAATAAATAAAATCCAGACTACAGAGAGTGTGTAATGAAGTGAAGTGAAATGTAAAACGTGCAAAGAAAGAAAGAAAAAAAAAACAAGAAAAAAATAAAAAGAAAGCAAGGTAAAAGGGAACGGATGTGGAAAAATAAGTCACTGTAAAGACCATGTTCATATCTTATTTGAACTGTGACGCCAGCAGCAACAACAACAGCAGCAGCAGCAGCAACTGCGGATGCGGCAGTAGCAACAACAACAATAACAACATCAACAAAAGCAACAGCAACTGCAGCAGCAACATCACGAACAGCAACCAAAACATTTGCAACAATAGCAATAGCGATATTTGTAGCAGTTGCAACGACAACAGCAACATCAGAAATATCGAAAGCAGTGATAGCAACACTGCAACCTGCAGCAATAGTTGCAACAATATCAACTGTATTAGCCAAAATAACACCGACAGCAGCAGCACCAACAGCGAATGCAACTACAGCAATATTGACGTCACTCCGAGCTGCAACTGCAACTGCAGCATCTGCAACAATATCAACTGCAGCAGCAGCAATTGTCCCTGCAGCAACAGGAACAACGCGGCGGCAATATTCGGCATGGAGCGATTGTTGCACGCTGTTCGCGAGGAGTTCCAAACAGAGGATGAATATGAGGCGGGATTGGATGAGGATGACGGGTGCAGACCGCACAGAAGCAGCATCAGCAGTTGCTGCAGCAGCAACAGCAACAGCAGCAGCAACAGCAGCAGTAGCAACAGCAGCAACAGCAACATCTCCACATCGCAATTGCCACCGGCGCCGAGAAGACGATTGCAGCGAAGTGATAGTTTCGGTTCGATTGGAGGCGCTGTTGCGGGGGGCGTGTCAGGAGCGGGAGGGGCAGCGGGAGTGGGAGGGGGAGGGGGAGGTGGAGCGGTGGGAGTGCGACGCTTTCGCCGCTCATCCATCGGCATGCAGCGGAAGTCGGCCTTCCGGCAGCGGAAGCTCGACTCTTTGGGGGCGTGGCGGCGGAAGAGGTGAGTCCCTCAAATATTCAGCAGGGGAATCCCCGCTTTTCAATCTCGAATAGTTATTAAAAATATATGAGGATGCGTTCGTCCCAGTGGGGGAAGCAAAAAACATACTTAATAAAACCAAAATAAATCTGAAATTTAAAACACAAACTACAAAATTTGGTTTGAAGATTCTTGCATTAAGCGTGTTTAAATGTTCTTTATAAAAATAAATAGGCATATATAAATGTTCAGAAAATTTGTTGTATAGTGTATTTATCAGTTTAATTTCTTTTTTAAATTTCAATTTTTTAAGCAAACAATTATAATGAACGAAACAAACTATCATTACATTTATCGAATGACCACATTTCCATTGCTTATCGAGTGCAAACCAATATTCTATCTTGACCATTTTAATAATCTTTCTAACCTTTGACCCCCTGCTTCTTCTTCTTCTTCTTCTTCTTATTCTCCATCCAAGCAGGCGTACCGCTTCGGCGAGCAACTCCCGGCGACCAATTCGAATTGTTCCCGACTGGACGGAGAATGCGGTGCAGGGGGAGCACTACTGGAAGCCCACCTCGGCGTCCGGCGATCTTTGTTGCCTCAACGAGGAGTGCATTGTGAGTAGCTACAGTGAATACTTGTTGTACTTACAGTAAATATTATACACATATCCCCTTGCAATGCCCTGCAATACTTTCAATTCAATTAACACAACAAAAACGAGAAGTGAAGGGCAGGTTACATGTGAGGGTAATTTATTTATTGCGTGTCTGTCCAACATTCACGCAAAAAAAATGGGGAGAAGGTGGGCGAAAAGAGTGTGGGTTTAGCACAAGAACGATGGGCGTGTCATCAGTTTGGGGCAGCTCCAGCCAAAAGGAACAAAAAGCGTACTTTATCAGACTCATTGTCAAAGAAAATGGGGAAAGGGAAAAGGAAGGGAAAGGGGGTGGAAACCTTAAGGGAATATAAGTCATTTGGGGAAGACCAGCTTGTAGGAAAATTCCTGTCTTATCTCAATCTGTTTCATACCACAAATTGAGCGGTAGTTGGGGTAAGGTAAAAAATCTGAATATTAAATAAGTGCTCCGTCTTTAGCTTGCCAGAAAATATTGATTAAGTGAAGAGCCAAAAAAAAAAATAATTATGATATAACAATAAAAATGTAGTAAGGAAATGTACAAATTTTGTATTATAGAATAAAACGTGTAGCTAGAATGTTTTTTTTTTTTTATAAAAACATACATTGTAAATTCCTCAGAAAATTCTTAAACAAACTTTAACCATTAAACCTTGGCAATCCGAAAAAAAAATTAGCCACTTCAAAGCCAATCTCAAACTTATCTTCGCCCAAACTTTGCCTGAAAACAATTAAACAAAAACAGCTCCGCAAAGTGCAGCTAACTAGCTCAAGGTTTTCCTTTAGTTTACCCAAGAAAACCTCTTTCAAACACCTGAGGCTGTCTCCTTGGCGGGAATCTGTTTTCTGTTTTCACCTGCCAAACCGCAGCAACCTCAGCAATTAATTGTCAAAGTTCGTTTCTCGCGAAATGCAAGCGCCACTTGCAACTCCGTCATTTGGCTGCGGTTTTCTGCGACTGCAGGAAATTGCTAATTAGCCAAAGAAAGCAAAGCACAACAAATTTAATTGCAGAGTGATTTTAAGTTTTTAAGAAATCACATATTGAGGAAATTAAATGTTCTTTTTTAGTTTTCTTTCTTCCATAGAAAGACTGTCTGGAAATGCAGCAATAGTTCAATATAAATAAAAAAAAAATAAAAGTGTTGAAATAAATATATTTAAATATTTTTAAAAATAGAACCAGAGCTACTCTACTGAGAAACTCTAACGTTTTTCCTGCATTTCCATGCGATTTTCAGAAGAGTGGACAGCGGATGAAGTGCTCCGCCTGCCAGCTGGTTGCGCACCACAACTGCATTCCGTTCGTGAACGAGAAGGCCTCGCTGGCATGCAAGCCAACCTACCGGGACGTGGGGATCCGGCAGTACAGGGAGCAGACCACCACCCACCACCACTGGGTGCACCGCAAGCTGGAGAAGGGCAAGTGCAAGCAGTGCGGCAAGGTGGGTTCCCTACACGAGTTCCTTTCTTTTCTACCCATTATTTTCTTTCGATTTTTAATACTTTGTTTATCGAAAAACTATTTGAGTATTTACAAAATTTAAATTAATTTTTTTTTTTTTCAAGTGAGTTCAATTTTATTCCATTTTGTAATTGCTTAGTTGAAAAACTGTTTAAAGCTGAATGTTCAATAACTTTTATTGAATACCAAAAATATTATTTAGAAAAGGAAATTCCAGAAATCAAATATTCTAGCTAACTTCATTAAAAAAAATGAATTAAAAAAATTTTAATTTTTTTTGTCACATTTCTAAAAAAAAATATCCAGTAACTATAGAATATTTCTTCTTATTTTGAATTATTCAATTTGTTGGTACTTATATTTATTTATAGGTATTTATATTATATTCAATTTTCCTAACCAAATATAACATTTATTTGTTTGAAACTTGATTGATGTATATTCCACATGACACACCTTTTAGCCACATCAGTTTGATCTGCCTGATTTTTTGCTCTGTGTGTGACAAATATAAACTGATTCTGGAACTAGGATATTATTAAATTATTACTCGTTATGCACTTATCCCTTTAGTTCTTTCCTATGAAGCAGGCGGTGCAGAGCAAGCTCTTTGGTTCCAAGGAGATTGTCGCGTTGGCCTGTGCGTGGTGCCACGAGATCTACCACAACAAGGAGGCCTGTTTCAGCCAGTCCAAAATCGGCGAGGAGTGTCGTCTCGGTGAGTTGGCCATATGTACCCCCTTTCAGCTCCCCCCTTTAGCCCCCTTGTAGCCACCTTTTTCCTGGTGCCCCTGCCCGCTTTCCTTTGATTAATTACGTGACGTGCATGCAAATAGATTGCGGTCCGTTAACTTAATTAAGATTTGTACATTCAAACCGAACCCAAATCGAAAAAAACAACTCCGTGGGTAGCCGTAACCCTTTGCAGCTCTTTTTGTATCCCTTCGATTTTCAATCGGTTTATTTGGTTAAGTTAAATGTGGGTAAAGAAATTGTAGCATAGTTTTTGGGGAAGTAACCTTCTAATAAGGATATTTTTACTTTAAACCAATCTCTTATATAAAAGAGAATTCTGTTTGGTAATTTTGTATACCTTTAAGGTTTGCCTTGGAACAAACTATTTGTAAATACCAAAACTCCTTAGTTTGATAATAAACTCAGCACAGCATCCCCAAGTGAATAAAAGTAGCCTCAGCTAAGGTTTCCTATTATGGGACATCATTTTGTATCTTGTGGGATTCTTGGGAAATTCTTTTTTTTTTTTTTTTTTTTTGTTATGCAACCACTTGCGCAATAAAACAACAACCCTGGGGTAAACATCCGGGGAAGGGGAAGGGGGAGGAACTAAACTATTTTCAATTAATGTAATTCCAGTAAATGCTGACGTGCCAGCACCTCCGTTGGTGTTTATAAAAATAAATTCCTTTTCCCGGTAACTGTGTGCAACTATGACAATGATGTTGCGGCAGCTGGGGCGACTTAACCGCTTCCTGTTCACGTTTTTATAAAGTGTCTCAATGAGCAGCTTGTTAACACACACTCTCTCTATAACACACACACACACACACACACAGCTCCTGGAGACCATTACGCATTACGGTTCGAGAAAGGACATTTACAGGACATGGATGGGGACATGACCGGAGATGAGAACAAGAACGAGACAGTACGAAATAGAATTACGAGTGGGTGGTGGCTCACTTGGGGTGTCCGTCCTTTTGTCTGGGTGAACCAAACACCCACTCTCCATTCTCCATTCTCCATTTGAGGTCCTTTGGCACTCATAATTGCTCTTTGGTATTCCAGCTATGTGGGGGCTTCCCTCTTAACTTTCTCGGAGTGAAAACCCCTCTGATTTCTGCCCTTAGATGGTGGCAAATTAAATTTAGTTGCCTGGCAATCCTTAAGCACTTTCCACACACAATTAGCTTTGCCAGCCTGGACACCTGGTTTATTCGAGCACCTTTACGAAAATGTGACAGCTTGATTACGCCACAACATATTACATTAATGTTGATGCGTAGATGCGTACTAAAAGCCCAAGGGGAAACTAATTGATATTTTACCCAAAATCACTCTATTTTCCCCGGAAAACATATGTGGGTTAAGTGGTCTCTATTTTCATTCCAATTACACTTGCAAATCATTTACCATTAATGGGTATTTAAAGAGATATTATTATTATTTAATTTACACTGAAATATTTAAACATATATAGTATAACTCATCAATCCAAGAAGTGTAAACCTGAGCGATAAATCTTACGAAATGAGTGCTCTTTAAATGAAAGATTAAATATTTAAATTAAATATTATAGGATCAGAATCAACTCTTTAATAATAAAATATTATTAAATTGTGTCACTCCTGTGGAGAACAAATATTTATTAAGTTTAATAAAAATACCTGTGGGGTTCCTTATAATTTTTAAACTTTTTTCCAATATGCTATCCATTTTTTTGACAGTGTAAAATTCGTACTCATCTCGTTTCTTCCCTCTCTTTCTCTCCCGCAGGCAACTATGCGCCCATCATTGTGCCGCCATCCTGGATTGTGAAGCTGCCGACGAAGGGGAACTTCAAGTCCTCGATACGCGTGAGCAACAAGAACAATGCGGCCTCAGGATCGGGGGCTCGGCTTCAGGGGGGCGGAGGGGCTGGTGGCGGAGGGGGCGGGGGAAAGAGCAAGAAGCAGACGCAGCGGCGGCAGAAGGGAAAGGAGGAGAAGAAGGAGCCGCGGGCATTCATCGTAAAGCCCATCCCGTCGCCGGAGGTAATCCCGGTCATTGTGTTTATCAATCCAAAGTCGGGCGGCAATCAGGGCAACAAGCTGCTGGGCAAGTTCCAGCAACTGCTCAATCCCCGCCAGGTCTTTGATTTGACGCAGGGCGGCCCGAAAATGGGGTAAGTACAGCAACATTCAAGTGCACTAAACAAAATTTCTGAAAATTAAACACAAAAGAATAGAAGAGCTCAGAAGTAAAGAAGGATAAAGAGAATAAGGATTCTTTTCAATTCAGATATTTTAGAAATATATTAAACTGTTTATTGAACAGAAAATTATTTTGAAACTCATTAATATAGATTACAAACTTAAATTGAATTGCTTTTAACATCATTTTGTATCGTAGGGCTGCTTAGGCATAATTATTTGTTATAGTTTTTTAAATTATAGGATTTCCTATTCAACCCACTTTCGTTTCCTTCCCTTTCAGCTTGGACATGTTCCGCAAGGCACCGAATCTGAGGGTTTTGGCCTGTGGAGGTGACGGCACTGTTGGCTGGGTCCTGTCCGTCCTGGATCAAATCCAGCCGCCACTTCTTCCGGCTCCGGCTGTTGGCGTCCTGCCCTTGGGAACCGGAAATGATCTCGCTCGCGCTCTCGGATGGGGAGGGGTGAGTAATTTTCTATAATCGTAAACAAAAACACTCAAATTCTTACCACATCTAATTAAAAAAGTCGATAAGCAATACAAAAATGTGGTATTAATTTGATAGAATGTAAAACTAGGTAGCTATAAGTAAAAAAAAATATTGTGAGGCTAACGCCAAATTTTACAATATTTTTTTTTTCAAATTAGATTTTTTAAAAATTTACAAGAAGTTTTAAGACATTTCGGAAACAGTGCGTATGAGTAATGTGATCTTAAATGGAATAAATTAGCCAAATAATATTTAAATTATAATAAACTGTTGTTTTTTGAAAGCTAAATGAATTTATGGAAATAATGCCATATTTATGACATACAAGATTCCACTTATCAAAAAAAAAAAATTAGTTTTAGTCATCTCTTAGCCATAAATATTATTGTGAAATTTATGTTCTTATGCAACAGTAAGTATAAACTACTAAAAAACCGAAACATTTGCTAAAAGTTGATCTCATATTAAACTATAAATGCATTCAAGCTTTTTCCATACTGCTCATGTAAAACCCGAACTAAGAACCATTACTAACAAAACGCTTGGCTTCCTGGCAAAATGTCGAAAAAATTAAAGGCATTTACCGCTAGACGTAAAACGTAGTTACATTTAACATAGACCTTAATCTTGCTCCAAATCATTACACATAAAAGCCTCAATAATTTTAAAGTCTATCGTCTTGCAGGGCTACACGGACGAGCCGATTGGGAAGGTCCTGCGCGAGATTGGGATGTCGCAGTGCGTGCTCATGGATCGCTGGAGGGTGAAGGTCACGCCCAACGATGACGTCACCGATGACCATGTCGATCGGAGCAAGGCGAACGTTCCGTTGAACGTCATCAACAACTACTTCTCGTTCGGCGTGGACGCCCACATCGCCTTGGAGTTCCACGAGGCACGCGAGGCACATCCGGAGCGCTTCAACTCGCGGCTGCGCAACAAGATGTACTACGGCCAGATGGGCGGCAAGGATCTGATCCTGCGCCAGTACCGCAACCTCTCGCAGTGGGTGACGCTCGAGTGCGACGGCCAGGACTTCACCGGCAAGCTGCGCGACGCCGGCTGCCATGCGGTCCTCTTTCTGAACATTCCGAGGTGGGCTTTCAACTGAATGTCCCTTCAAATAGAATAAAATGTTAAAGTATTAAAATTGTTTGTAGTTTTTAGTGATTAGGCCGAGCTAAATCATATCTAAATCTTTAAATGTATTTCATAATTATTATTTGGATTAAAGCCATTTTTTTATTGACTTTAAATAATATTTATATTGAAGTTGACAGGTGTTTGTTATAGTGCCTTTACTTGCAATATATTCAAGTCTTGAAAAAACGTTTATGGCAACCGTGCGTATGAGTAATATATTGTGTAGCCATTTAAATTAAGCATACGACCTGTTAGCCGGCTTACCAAAAGAATCAATGGCTTCAAATTGGGAACGATATTATAATTCCTCTAAATTTTAGTTTAATATATTCAAGCCTTTTCAAAAACGCATATGGCAACCGCGCGTATGAGTAATATATTGCGTAGCCATTTAAATTAAGCATACGACCTGTTAGCCGACTTACAAAAAAAATCAATGCCTTCAAATTTGGAACAATAATATAATACCTCTTAACTTTAGTTTAAAAGCCTTTTTAAAAATGCTTATGGCAACCGCGCGTATGAGTAATATTTGGTGTAGCCATTTAAATTAAGCATACGACCTGTTAGCCTGATTTCCATCAATGCCTAGGAATACTTCAAACTGGGAACAATATTATAACTTTAGTTTGAATTTAAAAACAAAATATTGAAACCCATTTATTCTAAAAATTACTTCACAACACAATTTCTTTGTACGACTTGATTTCTGGCACGTTCTTGCTTCACGTTTTTTGCTGTTTCTGCTATCAATTTTTGAACACCCATCGCTAATCGAGTTTTCCTGTATCCCTGCAGTTATGGCGGTGGCACGCACCCGTGGAACGACTCCTTCGGCGCCTCAAAGCCCTCGATTGACGATGGCCTAATGGAGGTGGTGGGTCTGACCACCTACCAGCTGCCGATGCTGCAGGCCGGAATGCACGGCACCTGCATTTGCCAGTGCCGCAAGGCGCGCATCATCACCAAGCGAACTATTCCGATGCAAGTGGACGGGGGAGGCATGTCGCGTCAAGCCATCGGTGATTGAGATCGAGCTGCTCAACAAGGCTCTCATGCTCTCCAAACGAAAGCATGGACGTGGCGATGTCCAGTGAGTAAAAGAAATAATCATTCTCCCTAGTTTTTGGTCTAAAGTTAATAATATATATATGTTACCTGCAGGGTAAATCCGCTGGAAAAGATGTCGCTGAACATTTTGAGGGTGACGATGCAGCAGTACGAGCAGTACCACTACGACAAGGAGATGCTGCGCAAGTTGGCCAACAAACTTGGCCTAATCGAGATCGAATCGCAGTGCGATCTGGAGCATGTGCGCAATATGCTCAACGCCAAGTTCGAGGAATCCATCTCGTATCCAAAGGTCTCACAGGATTGGTGCTTCATCGATTGTAAGTGAACTTTAAATCTTAAGAAACTGATTTCTTTTTCGATTCGGTTAAAAAACCAAGCTTGCACATTTAATAAAGATTTTGGAACAGGGATAGAAGAATTCATTCTTAAAGATTTTTAAAACATTATTTTTTTTTGTTATACAATTATGTTTTTGATAAGTAGCCATTTGAAACCCCCTTATATCACAATATTTTGAAATAATATATACTTTATATTCTATATAGAATATATTTTATCATGATAAAATATTGTATAACATTTATATAAGATAAATGACATATTTTACTATGATTATGTTTTTTATTACATTCACATTTACTATAATCTACCAATATTTGTTTCTAGCCTGCACCGCGGAGCACTTCTTCCGCATCGACCGTGCCCAGGAGCATTTGCACTACATCTGCGACATCGCCATCGACGAGCTGTACATTCTGGACCACGAGGCGGCCACCATGCCGCAGACACCGGATCAGGAGCGCTCCTTTGCGGCGTTCTCGCAGCGGCAGGCGCAGAACGAGCGGCGCCAGTTGGACCAGGCCCAGGGACGCGGACCGGGCAGCACCGGTAGGATCCTGTTAGCTGGCTGCTGGCCACCGGTGGCGGTGGGGTGGCAGGCCAATCGTACCGCTCGCACCGCTGACGAGCTGCCGCTCCAGGAGCGTTTGGCGCTCTACCAGCAGCAGGTGGCCGAGCAGCTGCCGTACCAAGACAGGCGCATGTTCCTCCACCTCCACTTCCGCAAGCGTCGCGTCGAGATCTGATTGCCCTTCAATCCTCATCCCCCGCCCCCATTAACCCATAAGCCCAATAAAGCCCAAGAAGCCACCTCCATCAAGTCAAATTTCGAAGGGGGGAAGGCGGCGGAGTGGAGGGGGGTACCAGTTGCAGTCGGCCCACTTTTGTTTTCGTTGCATTGCATTTTGTTTATGGTTAATTACGTCTTGCATGTCTAGTCACTAACATTTACACACAGAGAAAAGCAGATGCGGTTTAAACAATGCACTAAAAATGTTTTAGTTATATTAACAAATAATATTATATTTTAATTCAGAACTCATCATAAAATTTGTTCAATTTAAAAGCCAATCCTTTGCCTAATAACTGCTTTTATTTAAACCGCAACTGTGCACACTTACACCAACACTCACATAGCCACCCACACACACACACACACACCTACACCTACACCTACACCTACACCTACAACCACATCCGCTTAAAAATCCAAGTCTTAATTGCGAGGAGCCGAATACAGCTTAGTCCTTGCCACGATCGCATGTGAGTAGAGCATTAAATACGAGCACAACTGCAACTATCTGGTATATAATCCCGGCTTACATCAACAGTTAACCGTAGCAAGGACCAAACCGTATTCGTTACGATCCCATCCATCCCAACCAACTTAACTAACCAACCAACCAACCAACCAACCAAATAAACAACCAAATAATACACTGAAAAGATACGCGGGTAGGTTTAATGCCTTGCAATTGTGCTCTGGTAGTTTGGACTTGATTTGTACTTGATTTATAGTTACTTTAGTTGTAATCCACTTATTTCGATGGCTTACTAACAATATTTGAATTTCTTTTAAAATTTACACACACACACACACACCACAAAAACAAAACACATTGAATTACACATTACTTAAAAAACACACAAAGATGAGGATTTGCAAATTGGCTCCAAGCCCATTAAAGTGATGAAGTGGAAGAGGTAAAAATGCGTCCCCCAATTCGTTCGGCATTTCATTCAGACTCCATGCGAAGAAAAGAGACCAATTGCTATTATCTATGATTGAACTGAGCGAGATGGCACTAGTTTTCCAAAAATTTTGTTCACATAGAGCGCTCCATCTCTTTCGCTCTGCCAGACTTTAAAATTGGCTCATTTTCACAGCTGTCTTGCTCGATTGGCAATATTTTGTTATTACTTGCTGTCTCTCTCTCTCTTTCACACGCTTCATGGTCCACGGTATATCCTCCATCTTCCTCACACACTCGCCCTATCTCTCTTTTTCAATCCTTCTTAAGCACCTTTCCTTTCTCAACTTAATTTGGTTGAAATAAGTTCTTAATTTTCCTAATTTACGATACAAATAACTTATTTCTGCATGCAGCAACAAAGATCGTTTATTCAGTTTCAACGAAGATGTTTTTGGTTATGGATTCAGGTATTCCGTATAACTATCTGTCCCTTTCTTTACTTTACTTTACTTTACTTACTAGACTGTCTGTTGTGGCTATCTCTGTCTAAAACTTTGTCCCTCTTTCCGTCTTTATCTCTTCCGTATATCATCGACATTTGAATCGATTAAATGATTCTTGAACCGAAAACTGATGCTTGAATTTTCTTTTTTATTTTCTCTACTTTTCCATGCACACACCGAAACACACATGCAACACACAATTTCTCTCACACACACACACACACACCCACACATATTTGAATAATAGCCCTATACTGGAGCAAACTTCCGATGCCATACTACTAGCAGCCCAGAGCGGCGATCTCAATATGGTAGCTTAACTTTTCCAGTTTATATTTACTTATTTATCCCCGATTAGCTGAACTTCCGGTGATGTGCCTTGGTTTTAACCCTATTTATTCCCCTTTTCTTGCAGTTACGTGCACTACATGAACAAGGATACTCACTACAGTCAGTGAACAAAAACGGACAGACGGCGTTGCACTTCGCCTGCAAATACAACCACAGGGACATTGTCAAATACATCATCGCATGCGCCACACGACGCGTCATCAACATGGCCGACAAGGAGCTGTAAGTAGCCCATTCAACTCAATAGTTCATAGAGATATGCCCCTTTTAAATCGGATAAAAATTAAAAAAATTGAACGGATTAGAACTGATGGGATCTGGTCACTTTTCTGCAAATCCAATTTTTTGCAAGTTCCGAAGGTTGGGGGTCGTAAATAATTACAAAACCTCGTCAAAAAAATTGAAATTAAACGAATTATGCAGTTTGATAGGTATTTTAATAACAAATTCATAAAGGTATGCCACTTTTAAATCGGATAAAAATTAGAAAAGTTAAAGGATAAAAAGTGCTGGGATCTGGAAATCCATTTTTCGCAAATTTTTGCAAAAAACAAATCCTATTAAGGCTCTGTTTTCGTGTCTATTTTCCCGCAGTGGACAGACAGCGCTGCACATTGCCGCCGAGCAGAACCGTCGCGATATCTGCGTGATGCTGGTGGCCGCCGGGGCCCATCTGGACACCCTGGACTCCGGGGCAATACACCGATGATGGTGGCATTCAACAAGAACGCCAACGAGATAGCCACGTACTTGGAAAGTAAGCAGGGTGCACCGATCGTCGTGGGCTGGCCCGATGAATCGGAAATGGAAACGGAACCGGAACCGGAACCAGATGAGGAACCGGGACCGAGTAAAAAAATCCCCGGAAGCTCCCTCCATGTAGAGCAATCGCTAGACAAACTTACACGTAGTGGGGCTAAACTCACAACTCACCCCGGACATACCGACAAACTATATATAATAATCAATCACAAAGCCAGAATATCCGTAAATCCGTAAAAACGTAATGCAAGAAAAACATAGAACTTAATTTTAACATTGCAAATTTCTCCTTTCTATGCCAACTACGAACAAACAAATGGAATATGTCTTGTACATAACGCAACCAACCTAATCAAATCGAACAAAATCAAATCAAATTAAATTAAATCTACATTCCACTACGAAAACTAAAACTTAGGTCAAGAGCGTTTTATGCATCTGGAGGTGCAGACAAGGATCTAAGTGGATCAAATTCACCCTACAACATAGTAAACCTAATGATAATCGCTTTTTTTTCGGCAATTTTTTTGTGTTAGCAAGTACGAGAAAAATCTAATTTAATCTAAGCAAGAAAAATACATACAAAAGTAAAAAAAAACACACACACTCAACACATTTAGAGCATAAGAAAACGATTGATTAGTTTATTAACGTAAGGAAAAGCTAGCAAAACGAAAGGCAACATTTGTCCCAAAAATTCAATTTTTAATTACCTTACGAAAAACGCAAAAAAAAGCAACAAAATATATACAAAATGGAAAAGCAAATGCAAATGGAAATTCGAAATTTATTTGTTTTCACTTACCGTTTGATTAACGATTAATGATTATATTGTGATATCTAAATTAATTAATATATTGGACTAGAGAGCGAGAACGAAAGCAAATCGAAATTGATATTCGCTAAGGTAATACTAACCAACCCAAAAAAGGAAAAGAAAGAAAACAAAAAACAAACACACACAGAGACACATTAAGCAAATATATCGCCTATATATATTATATACGTTTAATTATACCATATGTACTTCTTTTGGAATTCAATCTAGGCTAAGTGAGAACTTGAATACTCTTGTCAGCAAAAGAAAAAATTGAGAAAATGGCAGAGCAGCAGCACGATTAGAAGAGAGGCGAACTATACCCTAAGTGGCTATAGCTCTCTCGCTCAGACATACACACACACAGAGAGACACACATGGAAACACACACACACAGTCCCAGAGCACAGACTAGGATGCACAACCCCCTAGATGTACCACCCACTACTTCACCTTCACCCCCTGAAAAAAAGAAAAAAAAACCCTCAGCGTTTCAAACCGAAAGACTTGGGCCGATCAAACGGCGTCTCCCAAAAAACAAGGTGACCTGCCCCCAGGAAAAAAAAACAAAAACTAGACTTTTAGGGCGGGCAGGAATCCTCACAAAGACTATCTAAACTACTCTAAATACTATATTCCGTACTCTTTAACTGTAAACCCTCGTAACACACAAATGGAACAAAAGAACAATGAACACGAGCACTAGTGGCGTAATACGAAAAACTCTAGTTATAGGCACGCATGCATATTTTATTAATTATAACTATGGAGTACTAAGAATATTATATAGCCGTTAATCGAACCACATAAGTATGCTATGTACAGTAATGGGCTATTAATTTTTTTTTTCCCACACTTAGATTCCAAGTTTCGAAACATATTTATAAATTACATTGTCAAGTCAATTACGTTTACCGCGATTCCCTAAAAAAAATTTTTGGCTTAGCAAAAACAAAAAAAATAACAACGATTGTAGCGATAATTGATAAGCGATAAATCCCATTATCGATGGATAAGGCACCAGAGAGCGATTAGAAAGTATCGATAACCTTTACGAGGCTTGGCCGAATGCAGCCCTGTCCCTCCGTCCAATCGCTGCGGCATCGTTCCTGGAAAACCATGGCTCTGGCTTTCGGAATACCGGAGTGGATTCGGACCCACGGGGGTCATCGCTCGCATTCCACGCGTCCCGCACTGTTGGCCACTTCCGGTTCCGGGAGGCGCGCTTCCGGTGTGGGTAATCATGTTTTGGATTGCACACAACAAAATTTAAAGCAAAACCTAAGAGAAATTAAAGAAACCTAAAACACACAATGAAGTTATTAAACACACATCGTAGACTGTCGCAGTTGGTGTCGAAGTGTCGCATCGATTCTCGATTCTGGCTTTGCGGGATTACCCCGGGCACGCAGCCTTCACGCCCCATAAGACGTGCCACCCAACCCATTGGGCAACCGGAATCCAAAATCGTAACACCAATCTACACCGCCTGCGGCAACTAATGAATATTCAGCTGCGGTCTCAAGAAAGATGGTGCCTTAAATAAAATCGGTTGATTTTCTTAGTTGTAAAAAATACAATTGATAAATTAACTTAAGTTTTTTTATATTTCAAATACATTTTGATTTTGTTAATAAGTCATGAGTATAAATATTTTCTTAAGAGTGACAATAATTTTAAAAGTAATTTACTATGGAAATTGCTTTTAATTTTATATAATTTTCTGAAAGTATTATAATGTTAATTTATTTAAATACATTAGGTAAATTCTATTAATTCTATTATTTACTTTTTGATAACCATATTTATTGTGATCAAAATGTTATTTTTTAAAAAATCCTTTGAATTTAGTCAATTGTATTAGGTTTTTTTCGAAGACCAAAATTAAAAGACAACCATAAAATACGGCCGCAGCTGGAAATCCATATTCAGTAGAGCTGAGTTGAATAAGGAATATTTAGCAAATGACAATCTAGAGATTTTGTAGCAAATGAGCCGAGCAGAGGGCCGATGAGAGTTTGCTATCCCCCCTAAACCATTCACTATGAACATAAACTATTAACTACACCGCTAAAAACACAAGAGTAGCCGCATGCAAAATTCACAGAGAGACAGTAATGTTTAAAACCGATATTTGGTTTTTTTTTTCGGATTTTTCAAAAGAAAAATTGCAATGAACACAAAGCTTCAAAGTGAAATTGTAGTCGAAGGATTTAAGCGGGAAGGCGGAATAGGTTAGTGTTTTACCGAGGAGAGCGCTATCTATAGATCTAGACGGGCTAAATGCTAAATAATACATGGATGGGATGAATACGATGAATGAGGGCTAAAATGCGAGAACGAAGAGAATTATGGCTAGCCAAGTGCTCTGTCACAGCTGTTCGGAGAACAACCGGGTCCAAGCCAATACTATGGATATATTTTCGTGCATTTTGTAGAAGTTGAGTACCCACAAGACACACTGAAAACAAAAAGACACAAAAAGATCACCGGACACCACACACAGATACAGGCGACAGTGAAACACTAAAGTGGAGGCGGCACTTACTGCATGATGTGTACATAGGGACATTATATATAGATGCTATATATATATACAGACAAATATATAGACATATATTTTTTTCGAATCGTTTAAGTGAAACTTTTGAACAAAATATGGAAAAATGAAACGCAAGTCTTATGAAAATCTAGCAAGTAAGGCAACCAAAATTGTAAAGGTCAAGATACAGAAATGGACGGAGGAACGATATACCTAAAACAATGCCTAACTGTACGATAGTAAGCATACTATAATATATATATATAAATATATATTGATAACGTAATAAAGCGGAATATGTGTGTAAAGGTTATCTATTTATTTATACACCAACACACCCAAAAAAAAACACCCCTGTAAATACACTGAAACTTTCACAAACGCAAATTACTTTCCCCCCCAATTTCGAGGCGCAATCAAGATCCTCGCCGACACACCGAAACTTTGGACAGACAACGACTTCGGATTCTCCCTTCCACCTGGATATATACACTATATATACGTTTAACTATTAACTTACGCAAGTCTGAAAGTATTTCTATCGAAGAGTTCTAAACTGCTTAACTGTAAAGTGTACATATACCAAAATGCAACCACTCACAGATCCTACAAACTATATAGAGTATATAGAGCTGTAAGAAAAGTCCCACACTGAAGATAATCCCCATTATTGTACGTATATGCCTACATAATATTATAAATATATATATATATATTTACTTTTTTTGGATTAGTCACTAAGCATAGACAACATGAATTACTAAGTACGATATGCACTGCAAGCACTGAGGAATTTGATTCAATTCTACTTAAGACAAACGAAAAGAGAAATTGAAATAGCATTTAGCAAAAAAAAAAAAATGAAACTTAAGAAAAACCAAAAACGGAAAATCTCCAAATTATGGAATAACGATTAAAAATTTTAAATTCATTTTTCGAGCCCCATCGGATGACAGAAACTTCAAAAACTGGATTCGCTTGAGGCAATTATGAAATGTGGGAAAGTCGAGAACGATTAGCATCTGGATTGGCAATGCAGCATTCGTATATACTTAGATACCCCCGAAACCTACACAGATAAACACACGAATATTAAATAGTTATACAATAGTTATATAGACTCATTCGCATCGATCCTTTTCAACCATAGCCTATCCTGTATTCTAAACCAAAATTGTATTTTTCGGACCCGCGAAAATCGAACCCAAGCTCAAAAATGTTGAGTTCTTTTTACTCCCATGTGCAACTTCCGAAAAAGAAAATGTAAAAATCAAACTATATTAAACACTTTATGCTAGCGAATCCCAAATATTGGACAACTGATCGAAATCATCCACAAAATTGCTTATAATATGAATTTTCTGACTCTCTCCTACGAGAAAATAAATTTTTTTTGGTATTTCAAACTCAAATGCAATGAAGTTTTTTTGTGGGGTGTGGCTGACATTATAATTTTATTGCAATTATAAACAAAAGCAATTCATTTAAAGTATACTTACACTTTTTAAAAACTTTTGTATACTTTTGGGCTTTTGTATCTACAGGTGAACGAGAATTGAAATGAGTCATTTGCAATTATGAAAATATATACATAAATAAATTAGAATTTTGTAATCATCATCAATTATAATAAATCATCAGGTAAGTCTGAATTGCCAACGCATTCCTCTTATTTGAAGTCATCACCAGAAGCTAGGATTTGATTGATCGTATGTGAAGCTTTAAAAATAGTATCTCAATTGATGTCAAGTTTATTAAATGGATTTCATCTTTAGAATTTTAGTTTAAAATTTAGCTATTTAGCAGGACATTTATTAAACTTAAAAGGCTTAAAAAAGATTGATTAACCATGTTCTTTTTATTTAAAAAAAAACCATATTTAAAAACTATCTAGGTTAAGTTATAATTTATTGCATTATGGTTTTAATTGATATGTCTTTTAATTGATTTAAAAACAAGGTGTGGTTTTTTTGTTTTAGTTAACTCCTCTATAATATTTTTACCAGAAAATCGCGAATCCTGTCCCACTGTAGCCCAACTGCTCGACTAAAAGAAAAGCCCGTCGCACCGTGGAGAGCGAGTGAGAGGTGACTGGTGGGCTGAGAGCGTTTAGAAAGCGGTAGACTGCTGTTGCGATTGCAATTGTTACCGCTCGCGGAGAGCGGCTGAGACCGCCGACTGACTGCCGACTGCCGACCGCCGGCGATTGCGATTGGGATTGCGAGTGGGGAGCGTGGAGTCAAAAGCTAAAAGCCAGATTCAGTTTGCGGCGCAGACTCGACTCGTTTAGTTCGGCGTTTTTCGTGTTTTGAGTTTTGAGTTTCAAGAAAAGCGACAAGCGCGCGCGGCTTTTCCACCGGCAGCGGCATTTTCCTAACCGTTTTTGTGATTCCATTTTTTTTTTTTATGGTTCTCGTTCTTGTTGTTGTTTCTTGCTGAGCGGTACAGGCGGTCCACCTGCGATCTGTATTTGTATTTTGGTGGGCGAGTGCATCTGCCTTTTTGCTGGCGAGTGCCACAATTGTCGCACGTAATCGTGCTGGCAGTTACGCCTCAGAAAGCAGCCCAAAAAAGTAAAGTAAAATACATAAAACAAAAAAAAAAAAACACACACAGCCATCAGATACAAGATACAAAAGTATCTGAAACACATGCGTTACGCTCAGCTGACTCGACGCGTTTTTGAGTCTGTATGTGTGTTAGTGTGTGTGTGTGTGTGTGTGCTTAGCTTAGCTAACAAATTGGTTAGATAAATTAAGCAAAAACTGTGAAATTCGCAAACGAAAAATAACCAAAAAGTAAAAACGAAAAAGGAAACTGAAAGTAAACAGTGCCGCGTAAAAGTAAATTTTAAACCTAAAAAAGCATATAGAGATCCTCCATAATCATTGCCACCATTATCGCATCGTAGTTCAATCCCCGCTCCTTTCCCGCGGCTGGCCGAAAAAAATATAAAAAGCAAAAAAAAAAAAAAAAAACATGTCACAATTCCGCGATAATTCATGGGTGAGTTGCGATCGAGTTCAGTTCGGTTCGGCTTGAGATTGGCACTAATTACCGACTAACCACCGCACGTATCCACGAGATACTCGCACTCTATCCTGCACCCAAAACTAACTAGCGATTTGCACAATCTTTCACTCTCTGCCCCGCCCCCTTTTCCCCCCGTTTGAACCGTCCTCTTAATTGGTCCAAATCGTTAATTAACCTGTGTGGCCATCTGTAACTCGATTGGCCAATTGGCCCCATGCATCTCTCGGCATGACCCGATTTTTTTTTCTCAAATTCGCAACTCGACTAGTGCGATCCATCGATTGGGAATACACTGAAAATGGTGCTGAGTTTAAGGGAAAATTGCAGCCAAACTAGAAGTTCTTACATTCTAAAAGTATGTTGCTCAATAACGAGTTTATAGCTTTATTCTCAGATAACTCAAACTATTATTCATTGAATAATTCCCAGGGAATAGTCATTTTCTCTAGAAATGTATTTCAACATAAACGTGATTTGTATTTATGAATAATACTAGTAATGCATATTACAAAGCACTTTTTTTCAATTTTACTAAAAATACAACAAAATTCTTAAAAGCTTTGAAATTTTGTGTATGTTTAAAGTTTATGTAGTAATTTAATAAGCAGAAAAGCTAGAAAATTCAAGTCAGTTTCTAGAGAAATGTAGTGCATTATAAACCATGTTGATCTGCATGAAATGCTATCTGAATATTTATCAATGAACAATACAAAATAGTATTCAAATGACCGAATGAATTCAAACGTTTATATATCTTCCTACTTATTATTTAATATTCTAAGTCCCAGAACTGGTAAAGCATTTCTTCAAGTGCTTGCATTTGTGCCGACTGGCAATTGACTTAAGACTGAGAATTTCGACAGCTTCCGAGCTGTCGACATGCACCGAGAAAACTTGGCTTTATCATCGCGCCAACGGTGCCGAGGTCACTGGAAATAACCTAATCAAATTTCTGCGCTAATCTATGGACTTTTATTTTAATTTTTAATGCTTTAATGGGAGTGCGTCTCGCTTTTGCGGACGAAAGTCGAACAGTTTTTGAATAAATTAAGCGATGCAAAAACACACTTGGGCCAAGCGGGTCAATCGTCGAGCAACGTTGACAACGCCGGGCGAAATTTATTGATCGCCTGATTGGCCCTGCTGTGCAACCCGTTTATCTCAGTCGATTTATCTGTAGTTAAAATCCCGCAACCTCCGCTTAGGAAATTTAACACATCTTTTTGGGATCATGGATCATTTCAAAATAAAACAATTTTGAAATTTAATTGAGATTTCTCGTTTTATAGAGATTTAAGAATAGTTGTTACCATTCATTTTCTCTGTCAATCAACCTGGTTAAACTAGAATTTTCATAAGCCTCTAGCACTTTTTCTGAAGTTGTGTCGAACGCAAAAAACCACCTACAATATCCTAGATTTCACAAGTCGATTTCTATATGCTATCTAGATCAAACATTTTTTCCTACACCTCTAGCTTTTTTTATACATTTTTTTTGTTACAATTTCTGCAGTTGAAGGTCGTCAGCGCTTTCTTTCTACAAAGTTAGTGCACTAGAAAAACAAACAGAAATGTTTGCACTTAGTAGAAAGTGCTTTATATGAGTTAAAAATATTATGTATAAAATACATATTTAAAATGTAGTTAGACCACAGAAAATTCCAACGAGGAAAACATTCTCCTTTTAGCACCCTTTGTTTTTGTTTGTGCCTGTATGGTATTTATATATATTTAGATGCGTTATCTGCGTATCTGTAATCGCATTATGATCCATTAAAATGCGCCAGCTTTTTGGCGTTTGTGATAAGGTCTGCGACTCCCACTCTTTTTTTTTTTTTTTTGTTTGGCGCTCCCTCGTCTGGCCCCTATAAAAATTAAAAAAAATGGGGGAAAAAAAACAATCGTAAAAATCAAGTAAAATAAGGTAAGAAAAACCAGTTGGCCTGGCCCAAACCGATTGCGCAAATGTCGTGACTGACGTCGCTGCAACGATTATCTTCTTCTGGCTGGGATTTCAGTTTTCAGATTGGAGATTCGGATGCGCAGGTGCAGCTGCTGCAAACTGAAGACTGCGACTCTGAAGTTGGAAGTTGGATGGGTTGGTTGGCAGCGGCTTCCTGGTCTTGGCTTCAAGTTCAATTACGGCAAATTGTCGTGAAGGCATTGGCCATGGCCCCCACAACGATTGGATCCCCACATACACATTCACATCCACATTCACATCCAAATCCATGTTGGTTGGTCATCAGCAACTTTCACTCACCACCGATGACGATGACGATGCCTCCTGCACATTTTGTCATCGTTTTTCATGTGGGAAAATCTCTCGCCTCTGCAAAAGATCAGAAAAAAAGGAGACACAAAAAAAAAAAAAAAAAAAAATAGAGACCTAAACGATGGGGAAGTCGTGTGGAGGCTGTTTTTTTTATTTTTTCTTTTTTTTCCATGGAAGCTGCGTCTGCTGGCTGTTTTTGGGCAGACATTGCAAAATAATTTCCACAACAAGTTGGAGGCCGACGACGACAATGAACTTTTAATTACCTCAAAGACTCGTTTCGCAAAAGTGGCGAGCGAAAAAAAAAAACAAAAAAGAAAGGGGTGAAAAGGGGAGTGCACTTCATTCAAATGAGATTCGCGGAAGGAAAAACTGAATTTTTAAAGTAGGAAAAGTATCTCTGCCGTCCGTGATCATATGCAATTTAATGCCTGCCCCATTTGCTTCAAAACAATCGGCTCTTTGTTTTTTTTTGTGGAAGAAAACAAAAAACCCTCCAACTGGAGATTAGTTTTCAATTGAAGATTTGCTTCCCCCGTTTTTGATATTCGTGGCTTTCCGAGCCGAAAACTGGTTGCCAAATTATAAATAAGTGTGCAGTAAGTAGGATTTCTGGTTAATACCTAATCGGATTGCAGTGCAATGATTAGATTTTGGCCGCCAGTTGCACAAAACGTTGCCAAAAGGTACTTTCCCCATGCAATTTGGTTTTTATTTTCGTGGTTATATCTACTTTTTGTAATGTTTTGAAGTAACCTTATTTTGCAAAAAAAAATAAGTAAAAGTACTTATATGATCCTGGGGTTGCCTAATATATTTGAAATCTTTTTTTTTTCCATCACTCAAAAATTTTTAAAAGGTGAAATAAACGTCAAATGAAAAAATGTTTATGATCAAAACAAAGAAGCCAATTAATTTGCAATAAAAAAAATCAATACAATTATTAAGTTTAGCAATTTTACCTTACCTTTTTTTTTTAATTTGGTAATAAATTGTAAATCAATTTAAGGCAACAAAACTTTTCACACTTAGGACTAATATTCATCAAGCTTTTTCATAAAGATTATCTTGTTACAAATGTCGTAAATATCAACGAATTTCTTGTAATGGCTACTTGCTTGTAAAAAAAAAAGGTAAAAGAAGAAAAAATCATTATTAAATCTAAAAAAAAAAAAACGGTTTTAGCCAGCTTCAATGAAGCGGTTCATAATTACCAACAATCTGTGCTGTCTAATTAGCTAGAATTAAACGCTTCAGTCGAAAGAAAGCTAAAAATACCATACGAAGATTTCTTTGAATGTACACTCCGGCATCCATAAAAATGGACAGCTCCCTTTGAGGCTTATGTAAGTGATTTCGAGTACCGAGATACTTGGCAAGAGCTAAACAAATTTCCAAGTATCTCGCCGCGAAAAAGATACATATTTCGCTTGTTACCGCTGACCAAACACAGAAATTGCTGGCGAAAAAAGGAAATTTTGCGACAATTAAACAGTGAAAGTCGCTAAAATGGATCGTTGTGGCATTAGCTATTACCCCGACTTGTTATTACTGCTACCATATTTTACTTTTTATTTGTTTTTGTTTGCGCCGCTAGTTTGTGATATGACAGATTTAATAGAAGAAAAAAGATATACAAACCTGAGAAATATGGCCAGAAAAGTGAATAGCAAAGATGATGATAAAGCGAGTCGCAAACTGTGTTAAAAATAATAATAATTTTTTTTCATTTTTCGCTCTCTTTTCTCCTTTGTTTGCCGCTCTGCATTTTTAATTATATTTGTTCAGATCTTACTGACGCTTTTTCCGTTTTAACGAGTGCACACACAAAACCCACAAAACCAAAAGCCTAGCCAAAGGTTGGGCGCTGACCTTGAATTTGGTGGCTTTTTGTTGTGAAGATCGGGCTGAAAGTCTTTGGTTCCAGCCAAGTCACGTCCAATGCTAACCCATATTGACCGTATTCGCTTGTATGTGGGCCAGCGCATTAACGGTAATTGATTTTCAACTCAGACTGTGACCGATTCGAGAAGCCAAAGAAAACTCCCAAGCGAAAAGCACAAAAAAAAACGCAGTAAAAAATACAGAAAAAATAATACAGAAAAAAACAACAAAGCGAAACAGAAAGAAACACACATCGAAATTGGTAACAAAAAACGTGCTTAGACTCTTTGGCTCTGGCCTAGGAGATCTGGCCTCGTTAAGAGCAGCAACCATATCTCAGTAGACGGCGACAAGTGTATCTCTCAGATACGCAGAACAATGAACGTTGGAACGACCAGAAGTGTTCTCATTTCTCGCCAGTTGGAAAGTATTCAAATGCCTTCCCTTTCTCCACCAACTCGAATTGAATTTCCTCGGTTTTTGTCATACCCTCGATCTAAAAACAATTTAATACCCAAGTGCAAAAGTAATGGCTTATTTATGATAACCGCTCACCTAAAAAAACATATGAAATATGGATAGTTAACTTTTATGCAACTTTTTATTACAGATGGCAGTTATAACTTCGAGTTAAATTCACTGAGTTTCAAACTGCAAATTGCCAACCTTTTACAAATTATTTCAAAGCACTAAATCAAATAGCTGTCATTAAACAAGTTTTAAAGAAAAACTCCTGAACTCATATTTATATGTCAAGAGTTTGATGAATGACTGTTGATTGCAGTAAAATTGTGTTATTAAAGCTGCCAAACAGAATTGAGTGTAAAATATAGATAATTCTATGCTGGGTGTTTGCAAATTCGACCCTGTTTTAAAGTCAGTTTTCACCAATTTCTAGCAGATACCTTTCGCTTTAGTTCAGTGGGAGTCGAGACCCACACAAATTCGCTGGGTATTCGCATTCAAACCGAAACATTCATTACCATTCATACACTCCACTCATCCGCATTCAGAGCTCAGAAATTGTTGAATGCCTCTAATTGTTGTCGGCGGGCGATAGATAAACAATTTACCTGAATGTTAATGCGCCAAAGAATACAAATAAATTAGCGATAAACATTTGTCATCGGGCTAACGATTCACCAAGGGGGCGTGGCTCTGCCTTAGTCACTGAGAGACACTGACCTACATGGGTTGTAAAAACAGGAAAATAATTCTCAACGATTTTCGCAACTCCGATTGTGGTGAAATGCAGTTCGATAAGGCAATGTTTTCAGTTGATAAGCGAAAAGAGCTAAAATTAGTCAGCGCACCAAACAATAGATTGTAAAAGTGTATACCACAAAGTATTGGAATTCAAAGGTAACAAGTTGATTGAATCCAAATATAATTTCGATTCATACGTACTATATATGTACATCTGAAAATACAAGGGATGACTCAAATATTTGTGTGACTAAAGTCATTTTATTAAATTCAAGTATGAAGTAACTTTTGGTAACTTATTTTTCACCCTTGTTAATGTAGTTAAAAAATAAATTCCCATATGCGTTGCACTAAACCTATCTGATCAGTTTTAAATGGAATCACTAATTTACAGCATTGAATAAAATGTTGTAACAATAGCTAGATAATTGTTAGACTGCAACAAGGCTATTTTATAACAATGGCAATTGAATTTAATTGAATTATTTGGATCTTGAAAAAGTATGTACATACTTTAGAAAAATTAAATTAAATGTGGGCTTAATTTGTTTTGTATTTAATTTCCCAAGAATGCATAGGCGTTTAATTGTTTTGCAAAAGGAATTAATACTTTTGTTATCTAAGCTATTGGAGAAGTTCAAAAAGGAGTAACAACTTTTGAGCAACAACCTTCAATGGAATTTCCATGTTTGCCATAAAATCATTAAGATTAACAAAAAGGAAATTCTCAATGGCCGATAGCAATTTGGCAAATTCTTTCCGAGAAAGCCTCTATCTTTCCCAGCGGTTATAAACAAGATAAAGCTGATATTTGGGCGGAACCACTTCCTTTGTCATATGGAGCGAATGGACAGTGCATTTCGACTTTAATTATTACCAATTATACGATCGAATTGGCCGACTTAATTGGCCGCTGGTCGTTCTCCTTGTGCCACTGACGACTGTTCGGCGACAGTTCGCTGAACTTGAGTGGCGATAATGATAATGCCATCGCTTCAAGTCGGCCCAAATAGCCCGACTTTCGTTAGCCACCCAGGCTCAGTTCAATTGTCAGTCGGCGATTGGCAGTTGGGATCGGAATTGGTTGCTCTAATCGCATTCATTCGGACGCTTCCTGATGCAACCTCGCTTCTCGCCTGCATTTTCATTGATGTGCATTGTGAATGGGCTGCCGAGCGTGTAACTAAATGCGAATTTTAGCTAATTACCAAGGCATCGCAGCGAGGGGAGATCATAAAGTCCAGGAAGCTGTCTTTAACTCAATAAATTCGGTGATTTTACATAAGGAATTGTGAGTGGAAGTGTTTTTTTTTTAAACTTGATAAATTATCACTGCTCGTTAAGTGCATTCAAATAGGTGTTTTAATTTTTATTCCATGAATAAATTATAGTTACCCAACAGTTAAATTGCCTTAGTCACTCACATTCCGGCTTTTATGGTAATTGTATTTATCTAGCAATTAAGCCCAGCCCAATTCAAGTTCAACCCACCAAAAAAGCAACTCAAGTATTTATATATTATATGTATATACTTATACCTTACCAGTTTAAAGAGGCATATAAGAAAATATAGAACTCTCCTTTATTTTAACACCAGTTTTGTGGGTCTTTTTTCGCAACCAAAGACCTTGGCCAGTTCCCAGTTCCAGTTCTTTACGAGATCTGTTGGCCAAGACCCAACCAACTCATCCAACTTGATGGCGGAACTCGTGTGGCAACCTCCTCCCTGGAAATCGGCCAACTTGGAGTTCCGCATTGGGCCAGTTCTGAAGGGGCCTTCATTAGGGTTTTAGCCGATTACGGGCTTCAGTTTTTTGTTTTGTTTTTGCTGTCATTCGAGGGTGTACAGTGCATTTAAGTACCAACTGCCGATTGTTTGCCACTGCCACTCAGTTGCTCTTGACTGGTTAGACTTGTTCTATGCGAGCATGTGAACTTTCTTCTTTCGGCAATCTTCGAGTTGACGAGAATCGGGTTTTTCTGTTTATCTGTTTCTCTGTTTTTTTTTTTTTTTTTTTCTGCTTTCCAGCTTTACAACTGGCTTACATGGCCCACTTCGTGCTCGAGCACTCACGGGGCGTATGCGCAATGTCGGTGTAGCAATTGTCGGTGATTTGCTTGCGAGATTGAACACTTGCAGCGCAATGCCAACCGCAAGTGCGCAGTACTTAATTTGAGAAAAATCCATCATCTGGGAAAGCAACTAATTTTTAAACATTTTAATTTTCTTTCTACGATTTTGGGAACTTTATTTGATGTTAAAAGTATTCTAAACTTTTTGTTCATCTGCAGCAACTGAAATTAATAGGAGATTTACAATCGAAATACATTAAAAATTATACAAACATTTTTTAAACAGAAATTTTACTTTAGAAATAAATGATCTATGTTTTAATGGTTAGAACCTTAAAAGTGATATTAACATGCGTCTTTTTGTGATTCCATGTTAATGAAAGGTATATCTTATCTATGGGAATTCAGTTTTAAAGTTCTTTTGCTAGATTGTGAGTATTGGCTGAGTTTTCCCGCAGTGCAACATTTATTTACTGTCATTACCGGCTGCTTAGTTCAATGGTTTTATCTACAGACATTGACTTCGGTCATGTGGCTATATATAGACCCGGCTGGCTGATGCATTAACGCGCCTTGAATCATCCTCGAGTTGGCACTTGTTTTTGTTTAGTCTTGGCCAACTCGCCGGACGCCTTTTTTTTTTTTTTTGTTACCCCGCCGCCTTTTTTTTCCTGCCGGAAGTTGGCGAAGCCATAGTTTTTCGCTGCTCTTGGCCAATTCGTGGTCGTGGATATGGGCATGCCGTCACGTAGTTAATAGAAAGTGGACAGTGGACAGGCCCAAAGCGAACCCATCCCGCTCCCCGATACCCAAAACCCCCCTTCCCCCGCTTCCCTCACCATTTCACCTGGTACTTGGACCATCAATGTGTAATTGCGGCCCACAGTCGCGGTCAAATTAATGGCACTGTATATCGCAGCTAAAGAGCATTAATTGAAATGTAAAATCAAATGGCATTCGTTAAAGATAAAAGCCTTTTTCGGCTTTGTCATTGTTTATTGGCAAGTTCGTTTGCTAATTTGTGTGGAAATAAATAGAAGTGCGCAGGTATTTTTATGGCTATTTGCAAGTGAAAAACGTATAAAATCAATTACACCGAGAAAATGAGCTGGAATTTAAATTACAAAACTTTCAAATATATTTTCATTAAAATTAAATGAGTAAATACAAATAAAATTAGTTGTTTATACATTTCTCTTAAAATTTGTATTTTAAAAACTGTTAAATGTTTTTTTTTCAACTTATATTGGCTACTGAAAATGAAAAAGTAAATTTCAATTAACGTGCCACTAGTTTTGACCATAAACTGTCCACAAGCTGCTGTCCCTCACTGTAATTATTCATAGTTATTTATTTGATTATTTAGCGAGTAAACCTAACTTGAGTATTTTCCGCTTCGCAAAACCCCCCAAACCGCCCCCAATTTCCCTCTCTCTCTCTCTTTCTGTCTCTATCTATATATATATCTACAAATCTGACGAGAAAAGCTCGCCAATGCACGATCCTATGGCGTTTTAAAGAGCCTGCGATGCTCGGCTCGTTATGCCAAAGCCAAATCGAAGTCGGCCATTAATCTGAATGCCCACCTGAAGAAGCAGCAGAAGCAGGAAGAAGAGCAGGCCGAAAAGAAGAAGAGTCAGGATAAGAAAAGGCTAAGACAAAGCCTGAGCGAGGATCAGGATCCGATCTACGCGAATGTGGATGAGGTGATACCGATTCCAACCGAAATCGGAACCCCAGACGATGCACTAATGGGTAATGCACAGGTAAGAGGACCGAAACCCACAACTCAGATCCAGACATCCAGACATCCAGCTCTCCAGTTCCATCTGCATCCGCGGCTCCATTGCATCCCATCCAAAAACAACAACAACAACAGCAAAAACAAAAGCAAAATCAACACCGAATCTAAACAGATCCCATCATCTTGCGGATCGGTGACATCAACCCATTGGAGCGTTTTTTACACTCATTTGTTTAGCAAGACAATCGAGAACAGCCATCGAAATTTAATTTATTACGTGTCTGCCCTTCACCGTACCACCCCCATAATCCCCCCTCCCCATTTTCCCCCCAACTTTTCGGTGTGAATTGATTGCGATTGTTAAACCCGTTTGTCCGACGGCATTTAGCAGCCAAGTGCAAGTTGTTCGCAAGCACAAATTATATAGAGGAGCAACTGGGGAGCACCAGGTAACAAGTACATAGCAAATAAAGCAAACAAGACGAATATAGAACAGAAGCTTAAGTGCTCTTCAAGAACGATTAATTTTACTACTCAGAAGATATAGGAAAAAATGAACCCCAACAAATTTATAAAACAAAACCATCCCATAAATAGTATTCAAGTTATTTATATTTTCTCTAATTTAAAGGGAAACCCTTTTTTAAATCAAAACATTATAGAGCAATTCGTAATACATTTGATACATACTGAAATCTTTCAAAATATTTTAAAACCATTTAAATTAGTTGACAATAAACTCAGTTGCACTTCGATCTGCAAAGCGAAACTTCCTTGCATACTTTTTGGCTCCATAAAATATGATTTCATATGATAGAGAATTCAATCAAAAATGTAAGCTATCTTCAAATGTAAAAATCCAAAACAAGGAACATTTAAAACATAAATAAAAAAAAACTTTTAATTACTATTAAACATTTTTAAGTCCAGGTAGTGAAGGTGTAAAACTTGGCTAAACCAGGTGTAAAACCCGACTTATGTTTACAGCTTTGGTGTTGGCAAAAGATACATTTCTTGAAAGCTTAATAATTTCAAACAAACCTGCTAAGCTGCCGCCTTCTGCTTTTGTGGTGCTAGGTTAAACTCTGAATTTAATTAATTATGAATCGGTGTTGGTTACTCCATTAAACTTCAGTCGCTCATTAACCTCAGCCCAACTAAACCTCCGACTAATTTATGTACAAACTTTGTTCTATATTCCTCTCTTCTACAGGTAAGCACCGCTGCAACGGTAATTCGACTAAAGTTAATTTTCCTTCAAACTCGCAACACTCCCAGACCAACAACAATGACAAGTAAGTTTCATAAATGTCACAACACTGGTTAATTTAAATTTTCCAACGCCAAAAAAAAGATACTTGCCATTAGAGACGAAACCCGAAGTACGGGTTTTTTTTCGTTCGCGAATGTCGGTCAAGCGGCAAGTGCAACGTTCATGTGAGCGGTTTTTCAGCGATTCCGATTCCGATTATAATCCCCCACGACCCCCTTTAGCTGCATAAATCTATGGTTATGCAACCGGGAACGGAACCCCAAGATCCATTATACCGGTACTTGTCAACGGCGTCGCCTCACTCAGCACGTGCATTTAGCTGCTTAAATTTATTGTATCACTCCGCAGACATCGCCGATGGTGCACAGTGGGGCCACTCATCAAACTAATGCAGTTTATTTTGTAAATCAACTATATTACTTGGCTCCTGGAGAAAATTGTTCAATAAATTAATGAGCTGAATTAAAGAAGCTAAGAAGACAACAGAAAATAACAAAAGGAATACTTCAGGAAATAACATCCTATGAAATTCAAAAGCAAATGTGGAGCCAACCATAATCTCAATGGAATAATATCTGGTTATAAGTTCAATGTGAAACGATGATGAATAACTTTTACCAGTTGATTGCAGACATAATTTATGCAAAACTTGGATGTGTTTGCGATCGGGCAGCTCAAACAGCCTGTCTCACTAATTTTTGTCATTAGGCAAATAACCGCATAATTAATTAATCGCGAGGCACACTGTGCAACGGTACATTGGCAGTCCAATCAGCGAGTACCGCTTTGCAAGACGTCGGCGCAGCGTCCCATTCAAATATTTGGCCTACGCGTTGTCAACAACAACAAAAGCAAAAACAATAACATCGCAGCAGGAGCGCCAGCCAAATAGGTGCAAGTGAGAGGGGGAAGGAAAGAACAGGTGCAGCATCCCTCTGCGTCGGCGCAACGAGCTATCTCCGCTCCCCTCTTCGCTGCGCTCCAACGATTCCTCTCTGCTGCACTCCCTCTCTGTTGCACTACCTCTCTGCTGTACTCCCTCTTTGCTGCACTCCATCTCTGCTCCACTCTCCCTCTCTCTCTCCCACTCCCTCTAGGCTCCCTCTCTTCTAAATTCAGTGGGGCAAATTATATATTTTTGAGACCAAAACTGTGAAGTTAAAAAACTAGATATTTCATTAATACTTTATTTTATTTATCTCAAAATATTAAACATTGGCTCAATACAAAATATTGAAATTAAAAAATTAATTATAAATTATATTAAATAAAATAACATCCTCTCCTCCTCTCTCACTGTGCACTGGGAGCTGCTCTCCCTACAGTGCGCTGCCGCCAACGCCGGCGCTGCGTTCTGGCAGAGCTCCACCGCTCGCCGCCGCTCATTCTGTTTCGGCGCGTTGTTGACGTCGGACGTCGACGTCGCTGTTCCGTCGCTGTTCTAAATTTAGTCGCCGACGCCGACGTCGTGCGCTTCTGTAAATGTCGCCGTTTGCCGCCGTCGACAAATATTAATAACAAAGCCCACAATAATTACAGTTTTATTTATTTTCGGTAAATTTTGCACCAGTTCGTACTTACATACTTACATATATATAATGTGTTTGCATAACCACAGCGCAAATTAGCTAATTGTTTTTTTTCAGTGTGCGTGTGTTTGTGTGTGTGAGTGCGAAACGTGCGAAGAAACAACAACAACATAATGCAGCGAATTAGGGTTTTGTTTTTGATTGATTTGATTTGAAATCGAATGAGAATTGTTTTCGTGTGACTTCTCCGATCCCCCAGAACCCAGATAAAAACAGTATTTTTGAAGAGGCCGCTACAGTCGGAGCCCCCTGCAACGATTTTAATGCATCCCCGCTGAACGTAAAATTAAGATCAATTTCATACTCTCACAAATCTCTTTAAAACAATCGTTTCTAAAATATAAAATTAATTTTAATTGATATCATTGAGTAACAGAAGGATTGGCTCTCGGACCATCATACGTGAAAAAATGTAGAATTCATCTTAATCTTTGGTTTGTTTACATATTGAATTATTAGAAACGTGTCTTTGGGCCACTTTCTTGTTACTGAACTGATTTTTCTTCTCTGTGTATCCGATACAAATGCATCTTGTATCATGTCTTTTAATAGCAAATTAATTAGTGTCGTTTGGGTTTTCTTTTAATTTTCGCTATCTGCCGACCTTGTTGGCCGCCTCCAAAATGAGCTCAAGTTTGTGCCGTGACAAATGACAAACGCCTCTGACAGATGCGCCAAATGCATCTTCAACTGCAATAAATTGGTGAATTTTCCTTGGCAAACGGCTGCAGCGAACTTTGTCCATACACAAACCGAAATGGCCGAAAACCCAATGTCTAAACATCTTGAAAATGTGCCAATTATTTTTGTACAATTCCCAAATAGAACACAATAAAAACCATAGACCGTGTCTACGCATTCGTTCGTATATATCTTGTCCGATATCTTCGGTATTTATGTACGTATTTATAGATATTATGTGATCTTTACACGAGACTGTTCTCTTTTGATGGCAGGTTCTTTGGTTTAGCTAGCGATTAGCATAATTATTTATGGCCCAGCAATTGTTGGGGGGCCTTTTGGCAGAACTTTATTGAATATATTGAATAACGATTAACCGTTAGGAGTCGATTGAGTGGTTTACTGTGAGTGGAACCTCAATAAAGCGAACTTATTTATATATCGTTGAGATTGTAAAAAGAAATTTGTTTATTTATTATTCTAAACCAACGAAAAGTGTGAGTTATCAAAGCTTGACTGTAGTTCGATAGTTAATTAGGCACAGACACCATATTCGACGGATTCCAAAGACAAACACAATGACGAAAAACAAAGCATAAGCACAAAATGACCGAATGTCGAATAAAAATAAATGCAGCCGCTTTTTAGCCGCTTCTTCTGCTGCTTCTACTGGGTCTTCTGCGTAGTCTTCTGGGCCCCTTCTTCTCGCCCTTTTCGAAGAACAAACGCATTTCTAACAAGATTGACAGACACTCAAAGCAACAGAGCAAGCGAGATGGCCAACACCTTCTGGCTAACGGCATTCGTCAGAAGAATTGAGGCGAAAAAAAAACTAAAACTGAAACTAAATAAAAGCTCTTCGACTCGCGTCCCCGTCTTTTGCTGCCTGCTGCAGCACATTGCATGCTCGGCATGTCAATGACATTTAAGAAAAATTGATTGAGGCGGCACCGAAGAACGGGTTAATTGCGTTAACCCCTGACACCCACATGAACCGAGTGCAGCAGCCTTAGGGTAAAACAGAACTCTTCTTCGAGTAAAGTTCAAAGTTGAATGTAGTTTTTCAATTAACTTGATAACAAATAATTCTTAAATTGGTTTAAAGTTATACAGACTCTATTAGAACAGAAAAAAAACACTTGGGGAAATTATTTAACATTTTTCACAAACTAGTTTTAACTAATAGATTATTTGTTTTCACTATTAGCTTCGTGACAATATTTTCTTTTTGCCTAGATTACAAATACATGTGATCTCGCGATTTCTTTCCCAGTCAAGAAAACTTCCAGGTTCTGAATAAATTTATATAACCAGCGGCTCTCATTTGGCGATTACACAGCAGTTTCTCATCAAACAAAAACCGAGATAAGGGAATTTTCGCCAACTTTCTTATCGTTCATTGTAATCCGTTTATCTGGCAGATATCTGCACCTGTATCTACCATCCCGTCTTGACACCCCAGCGAACGTGACCTACCCGAGTCAGGTGGTCGGATCGGATCAGATCGGATCGGATCGGACCAGAGATTAAAGGCGAACCCATTTGAACATAGGGAAAAAGTTTCAGCCATTTGAATGGTATTCGAGAAATGCGGGGAAAGGCAAACAGAGTGGTTCACCACTGAATGCCTCATTAAGAGAATTATTTTTGCATTCGGGTCTCAGACCTTGCGCATTTGGCGCAACATCTCGCGATAAGTTGTGAAAATATTTGCGTAAGTGAAACAGAAAGCGTCGACACGACACACAGACACTGTCTATAAGGTTTTTCGGTTCGCATTTGTTTTTTCCGCGGCTTTCGTATTTGGCTATCTGCTCTACCTTATTTTCATTCTCTATTTTTGGCTGGCGCAAAGAGATCGAAAGATCAACCGATCGTTCACACAAGGCAAGGTGTAAAGGGCAGGAAAAGCTTTTCAGTTTTTTTCTCCCATTTTTTGGCAAGAACATTTGTTGTGTTTTGTTTATTGTTCTAGACATTAAATGAGATAAATGCGTCCCATAAACTACTGGCCGGATCCAGCGGAGGTATGAGATTATTGCCAAGTAAATAGTCGCATACCAACGCAAATAATCTTCGCCCATCGCAACAACCATACTCCATAGAAAAACAGTGCAGGATCAGTTCGTTTCAAGGTATCTGCACCTCAGCAATGGGCGCTTTTTAATTGGAAAACGAATCCCATGAATGGCGTACTATATCCAGGTGTTCGCGAGACTTTCGCACTTTTTGTTTATGGGAATCCATTTCTATATACAATGCGACGACAGCCGTAGTTTAGTGCCAGGCATTGAGAGGTGCAGATATCGAAATTGCAGTGGGATTATAGAAACTCACTTCAAGAAATTACTTAAAGCTAGAATGTGTTTACAATTTGAAAAAAAAAATACTATTTATGGTTATTGTGTTTATTATAGAAAATGTTCCATGTATAACATAATGTTAAATTTATTCCTGACTCTTCATTAGTAATTTTTCTCTGTGCACTTGCCGGCTTACCATTTAATTGAATAAAAACTCAAGCTGAACTGGACTATAAATCAGTCGGCCGTCGTTAAACATTTGAGGAAAATCGCAGCTCGGAAGTGAAATTAAAAATAGAAATGAGCCAAAGGAGTCTCTGGAAGAAATCGGGAAAATATAAGATTATATAAGCTTAAAAAGGATAGACCTCCCTATATGGCCTTGCGTTGACCTTGACTGTGATCCATCGGTCCTTACAGAAGTCGGTGCCACCAATTATGGCAACTCGCTGGCATTTTGTGCGATTAATTCCTTTTATTAATCATAAATTGCCATAATGGAAGGGCCCAAGCAGAGGGATTCGCAATTGTCGGTGGCTGCAATTGCCGCAGTTGGCAACTCTATTTATAGAGGCCCAATAGCCCACGGGCAAGCTTATGTTCCCCACATCTCCACTGTTTATCTTCGTGGGTCTTGCCCCCATATGATCTTCCGTCCGTCTGGCCATAATTTATTTTATTTGACTTTTAAACCTGGGACGCGATGTTGGCAGAAGGCTTCCCATAATTGCAGGTTCTTTTCGGCTTGCTTCACCTCTTTTTGATACTTCAACCCCTTGCACTTGGAAAAAAAAGGTTTATAAACATGAGCTTTGATTTTTAAATCGGAAGCTAAACTTGCACTTGAATGTCTTCAAACTAAATTTTTTGCTTAAGTATTTAAGTCTGAGTAAAAAGACATGCCTTTCTTTTAGGATAAATGAAACTTATCTTTTCTAGGGACTTATCTTTTTTTTAAGTGCATCACTGCTTGTATACTGCTTTGCCGACTGCTTGGGCGGCTTTTCAGCTAAGCTCGCTCATTAGTTGAATTGTCTTTTGACTTGTCACACACTCCACCTTATTGCACTCCACTTGCCTCCGCGAAACGTGACATATCACAGACGGAGCGATTAACCCCACTCGCCCCCTTCCTCTGCTGCTTATTAACCCTCTGTTGTTGCATCTTCCTTGGCTGCTCTGCTTCTTCGGTGCAAATGCTATTAGCCGCAACAACAAACAAGTGCAAAATGTAATTAAATTGTTTTACTTACTACGGTTTCGCACATCGGCCATTTGAATCGCGAAAAGTGTAACAAAGGCAACCTAGATATCTACATAAATACAATTACAGTGATGCTTTGGTAAAACAACTTAGTTGAAAACTTGTTAATTAATAGTGAGGAAGTTTATTTTAAAGTGACTCTTACAATATTATCATCGATTTAGAAGGTTTTTTTTTTAATTATCATATATGCAGTTATGAAATCTCTCGTACGAGTCTGCACTGTAGAATACATGCATTTGAAAAAACTAAGCACGAAGCTTACATCACAATACAGTTATAACAACAACTACGGCTTAATGATCGTCGTCTGTCCCCAGTTCTTTACTCCTCCTCCTTTTCCTCTTCAACATTTCTCTTTCTACTCTACTCCCCTCCCACTGCTCCAATTGCAACAACAGAAATCGGAGTTTTATGCACATTTGTAATTAGAAAACACAACCTGGCTGGGGAAATATAAAAACAATTTGCATTTCATTCAAGCGAAGTAAATGAAATTAGAAAAGGGAGCCGGGGAGGTAGAGAAATCGTACAGAATAACCATTATCTGACTTAACTCGAAAGTAAATAGTTCATAAATAAATGATTTATATAATTACCAACACGGAATAACTTGGGACAGAGAAGAAGCAGACGAAGAGCGGAACGGAGAGGTGGTCATAAAAATCCCACAGTAGCGGGCAAAAAAGCAAGCTAATGGTTTTTTTAGTCAGTTTGAGAAATATGTTTGTGGTGCAAAAGTGTTTTATCATATAATTTTAAAAGTAAAATAAACAACTTGCGTCTTTAAAAATTAATAGAACACACAGTTTAAAAATCAAATTAAAGAAGAAAATTAATTTTTAAATTTATGCTATTAATTTGATAAATGCTGTGGGCCACACTTGATCGGCCAGACATAAAACAGAAACGGAGACTTGCAGACGTCGCTGTTGGCGTCGCTGCCGGCGTTGCAGTCGATGAGGGCGCCACGGGCGGCGAAATGCAGTTCTCTGTTTTGTTTTTGGTTCCAGTGGCCAACGCAGCGATTTGTGCGTCGACTTTTTCTTTTTCACCCTCTTCTTCTAGCAACCAGTGCCCCCTTTTTTCATGCCTTCTCCTCCACCCATTGATTCCAAACGTTTTGTAATCTTTACCTGCATCGAAAATTGGAGCAGAGGAACAAATTCCAGAGCGAGAGGAATGTGTGATGGAAGGGCAAAGAGAGTGTCAGGGATCATCAGAAGGTGAGGCAGGGAGCTGCCCGGCTCCCTTCTCCTTCTGTTTTTCCCTACCTGTCGGCTCGCACTTTTCTTAAGTCTTTACCTTGTCCCTTCCCTTCCGTTCCTTCTTCTCCTATTCCTTTCTATGCTATGTGTGTTTATGTTATCTGTGTACTTTATGTAGGTGAACATCGTCTTAAGGTGCTCACTACAGGGTGTTATGGGGATAATGGTTGGGTATTTAACTTTGTATTTATGTGGAACGGGCCGCCAGTGGAATTTGGGTTACCTTAGGCCATGGTTTCCAGTTTCCATGTGAACTAATTTGGGGAGTTTATAGCTTTTACATTTCAGTCATTTTCTTAATTACAATGCCCCTTACAATAAAAATATACAGTGTTAACTATGAAGAACCGACTTTTGCAGTCCAACTCCAAGGTTATTATAGTTTTCAAAAATGTACATACATATACATATTCCAATTGCAAAGGAACTTCCATTGGCACGCGTCACTTCCAGGTCGAGTCTCTCTCTCTATCGGATATTCTTTCACCTAGAAGAAACTTTGTTTGCTCTCCCCTTCTTCGCCATCCTTTCACCTTGCTGCAGTTTTTGTTGTTGCGGTTGCCATTTCCCCCTCTCTCTCACGCACTCACTCACGCACACACACGCGTGCTAACTGGAGTGCACTATTCGAAATTAGTAATGCTTTAGTGTCATAATTCGAACAGACGTCAACGATGAACCACCTGCGGGTGCACAAATTCAAGCTGGGCGGCAAAGATAATGCCGCCATGGCCGATCTACCCCAACCGGATAATACGAACAATAACAACAATGTCGGCAATAACAACAATCAGAATGGCGGAGCCAAAGGATTTCTGGGCAGGATCAAGCGTTATTCTGTGCTGGGAAACAAACTGGGACGACGTCATCTAGGCAGTATGAATCTGAATCCAAGCAATAACAGCGCCGATAATCCAGTTTCACCCAGTAAACTTCACACCGGTAGCTATAATATGACCGGTAGCCATTCGGACGATCATCGTTTAGAAATCGGAGCTCCGGTTTTGATATCCACCACCACCTTGGATACAGATCGTTTTGATGTCACGGAAGCGAGACTTAAACAAATTGGAGGCGGCATCGCACTGACCTCCAGTATTGTAAGGACCCTTACACCAAAAAGTTCGGATGATGATGAGTTTGTGGACGCCAGGAGCAGTCCGCAGGAAATGGAGCGGGATGGGGATCTTCAGAAGCACGAAGACCAGAAAAACAATGATGAACCGGATCTGAAGGGACCACAAGCACAGGAAAATGGGGATCCCGAAGACCTTGAGGAACTGGAACACTTTGAGACCCCCAAACATCAGGTGGAGGAACCAAAGGAACCGCAAGAGATGCTTCCTCAGGAGGTAAAACCACCTAAGACTCCAGAACCCACCGCCATAGAGCCTCCAATGAGGCGACCACGTATTGCCCGCCAGCAAATGCAATCGCAGTCCGTTCAGAATCTGCATCGAACCGAACTCAAAGTTTATCTGCACAAGTCCAATTCGATGGCGCTGGACATGAATGTCACCGCCCCGGCGAAACTGGGCTTGGACCTGAACCTGCCCGAGTTACCAGAGCTCTATGGAGCTAGCGAACTCAGTTTGGCGGCCAGTGATAATAAGGAAAATCATCTGCCTGTGGTGAAACCCGCCATGGAACGTTCGCCTATCCCCAATGGTGGATTTCTGGCCCAGCAGCCCCACTTCAAGAGTCTGGACTCGTTTCAGCTGAATACCCACTCGCAGCAGAGCTCCCAGCAAAGTTTGGCCTGCAGCAGCAATGGCGGGGAATTTGACTTTGATTTGAAGTCCGTTAGCTACCAGAGCCTCAATGCCCAGAATCTGTTTGTGTCCATTGACGAGCTGCAGGAGCTGTCGCGGCAGATCAATGAAACCGAGGAATTCGGCAAGGACATCGACTTGGAGTACTGCACACATCGCGATCAATTGAGACCCAGTGAGCGTAGGATCACGCTGCTGAAGAACAAGAACCAAACGCTGATCAATTTCAATCACAACAAGGAGAAGCTAAGGAAGGGCTGGCACGGCATGAAGCACTGGCTGGGCGAGGAGGGCACCAAGATCAAGGAGGCAGTGCGTCAACAGACCCCGCTAAAGCGTCTCGCCCAATCCCGTAGCAATCTAAATCATTCGACGGCCGATGCCAGTCGTCAGTCGATGTCGCCGGAACGAAGTCGCCGTGATATGACCGAGAGTTGCGAGGATGTCACCGAACGCACCGAAATGGAGTCGTCCATGTCGCATCGAAACAGCGAAGAGGATCTGTCGCCGCATGCCAAGCGGTTCAAGGATGAGGTACAGGTCGACTTGTTGGTCTGGGGTTGCTACAGTTCGGTTGGGTTGATCTTTGGTAGAACTTGTTTATTAATCCTCCTTTTTTTTCAAAAACACAAACAGGGACAGAACGGCTTCGAGGAACTCCGGCGATATGTGAAGCAGGGCGGCGACTTCAGCAAGGAGCTCATATTCGTCCTGCAGGAGAGGTCAGTTGTCTTTTGAACAATCTCAAAATGAGTAAGCCTTATAAATTTTTTACATTTTCAGGGCTGACTCGGAGCTGATCTACTCAAAGTCGCTGTCGAAGCTGGCCAACAAGCTGAACAAGGCTGGCAGGGAAATCCCGGGAAGCGTGGCCGATGCCTGGCGTGGAGTGGCCACGGAGATGGAAAGTCGCAGCGACATCCATCGCCAGTTGGCGGCCTCACTTACAGATGAGCTGGTCAAACCACTGAAGACCGTCGTCGAGGGACATCACAAGGCACGCAAGGCGGTAAGAAAAGATAATTTATATCATAACAAATTTGAAATCTATGTAACGATGAGCTATTAACATATTCTTCCAGGTGGAGAGCAATGTGGACAAGGCGGCTCGAGTCCTGGGCGAGTGGCGCGCCAGCGAGGCGAAGGCCAAGAAGGCATCCCACACAGCGGCGCGCGAGAACGAGAAGCTGCAGGACGCGATGCTGGACGTGCGCATCCAGAAGTCGCCATCGATCGCCCTGCTCCACCAGGGACCGAACAAGCAGGCCGCCGAAAAGGAGCTCAAGTCGGCGGAGAAGGACTGCGTGAAGTTGGACAACAAGCGCAAGAAGGCCGAGGAGGCAGTGAAGCGGGCGGATGTGGAGTACTACACCCTGTGCGTTCGCGCGGAACGAGCCCGGGTCGACTGGGAGATGGCTGTGCTGCGGGGAAGTGCCCAGCTGCAGAGCAGCGAGCAGCAGCGTTTGGGCAACATGCACAACTTCGCCCAGCAGTATGCCCGTCTCATCTCGGACATGAATCCCATCCTCGGCGGACTGAGCAGCAGGCTGCAGCCGCAGCTGGAGGCCTGCAATGTGGCCAAGGACATGCAGGTGGTGCGCCACATCCGCCGCAACTCGGAGGGGCCCAGCGAGCAGCTGCTGCCGGACTTCTACTGCGAACATACCACACTGGCCATGAACCGGGAGCGTCGCAAGCATGCGCTGATCAAGCTCCTCCAGCTGGTCAAGACGGATCTGGAACGGGAGCGACGATCCCGTGACGGATTGAGGGGCTTGTCGCAGTCGCTCAACCACCAGGAGCACCAGAACATCACCGACAAGCTGTATCACGTGGGTTTTCAAAATTCAATTGTGCTTTTCCGGTAGACTGAACTTAATGCAATCCATTGCAGATCCGTTCCATGCTGACCTACTTGGAGGGCGCTCGTCTCAAGCTGCACTCTGCCCTCCTGGAGCTGGACCACAAGCCCAGGACCACTCATCCACTGGCCCAGCACATTCAGGTGAGTTTGAACTACCCTTAATTATATTAAAAGAAAACGTTGTACAAATATTTGATTCCCAGATCACCCGTGACCGCACTGGACTGCAGCAGAGCATCCTTAAAGTGCCCAATTGGCTGAAGAACAACGACAAGTCGCAGACGCAGCAATCGACGAGTATGCTGGCGCACGACGTGACCGATATAACCAACAACCACGAGGATGAGCTGCCGGAGGAGAACTGCTCCCATCTGCACAGCAGCAGCAACAGCAATAGCAACAACAATAGCAACAGCAACGGATCCTGCACGGACATCAGTTCGGTGGTGAAGCAGTTCAACCGGAGCAAGAGCAACATCGAGACCAATTTCACCAGCCAACCAAAGATAATCTCGACTACGAATGCCGCGGTCGCTGCATCCGTCAAGTCCAAGACTCTGGCCAATCTCCAGGATGGCCAGCATCATCACAATCACAATCACAATCACAATCACCATCATCACAGCGATCGCGGCCAGGCGGACGGTGGATCCAATCAGCAGGACTCTGATTTCGATGAGTTCAGCTCGCAGGACGAGGATGACGAGCCGGAGAAGCCACAGCCACAGCAGCAGCAGCAACTGCAAAACTTACCCATCAAGTCGCAAGTGCAGACGCAGCATTTCTATCAGAATGCGCAGGATCTGCAGAAGGACGGATCCGGTCCGATATTGGGGCGCTGCAAGGCGCTCTACAGCTACACCCCGAAGCTCTACGACGAGCTGGAACTGAGTCCCGGCGACATCATCGAGGTGCATGCCAAGCAGGACGACGGCTGGTGGCTGGGCGCCCTGCGCAACCACATCGGCATCTTCCCGGCCACCTACGTGGAGGAGTGCGCCTGAGTCCACACCCGGATTATCCAGGCTATCCAGGATCCCTCCATAGCTATTTAAGTGCGAATGAGTGAGTGCGACTGCCAAAAAGGAAGAGTGTGTGTATCGTAGAGCGATTTGTTTGACATAAAACCATTGAAGGAGCAACTGATCCCCAAGCGATATCTAAAATTCAAGGCGAAATATCCACTTTGAAACTGCCAATTATTAATTTATCTGTAACCGAATACCATTCATATTTTACCTTAACCTTAATTACGAAAAACATAAAGAAATCATTGATTTTGTACATTCTTTATATTCTTGATAGACAATCGAAAGCTATAAATTTATTTTTTAAAAAAGCTGAAATATTTACTATCAAAAACTTTTTCACAATTACAAAACGAACAAAATGAAGAAAACCAGAAAATATTTCATTTTTGTAAAACATTTTTGTTAAAAATGAACATATTTTACTTTGCTTATATTTACATATATGAACTGCTTAGATCTTTCTTTAGCCACTGGAAAAAACAAACTGAAATCAAGAGGTTTTTTTCATGGAAGTTTTCTTGGTAGACAAGTAAAATAACTAAGTTGTTCAAACGAAAACCATATAATTTATAAGCAACTGAAAAAGCAGAAATTGTGAAAACATGAATATTTGTTTCGTTTATGTCTTTCTCCCTTTAGTTTTGTACAATAAAACCAATTTTAATTTATTAACCATTTTACTCTACAGACAACCAAAAGACTAACATTAAGCCTATGATTTCAAAGTATGATTCGTTTAAAAAGATATGTTTACTTTTCGTTTTTGTATCAAGCAGATCGACCTACTTTAGTGTTACAAAGTTAGTTATCCTGACAAGCTGCTGATCCCAGGATCACGATTTTGCATTAAGCATACGATGTAATCTACGAGTAAAGCAATCATAAAATTAATTTTTTTTTATTTTTTTAACTACCAATTATACGTTACACTTAGCGCCCAGTTCAGTCATTTACCATTTATTATCGATGCTGCACATAAACTTAAGTGCTGGATTAACAGTTTCCATCAATAAAAACACACTTTTGTTATTACATTATTATTATTTTTTATTGCATATACATAATGGAACGACATGCATAATCAATATATATTATTATATTCAACATGCGAAATCACAAATGTTTTTTTTTCTCGTTTGTAATTACATTTAATAAATTAAAAGTATACATATATATATTTGTAAAATATTAAAAACAAAAAATTAAAAATATTCAAGAGAGTTTTGTGTATATCAACTCTAGTAATATCGAAAATCGTGTATTATATATCGCCGATGGGGAGAATAAGTTCCTTTGTTCACTGGTCGAGAAGGAAAAAGTTTGTGGTACCATAAGTTTAACTTGAAGGATAATTGGTACTAGTAAATATAAAAAATAGTGCGTGACCAGTAGGTGAGTTTTAACACTAAAGTGAAACATTTTAAAAAGATTTTTCGAAAGGCATGCAAGGACTAGTGAACTTTGCTAATCAGAAAATAACCAAAATTATAATGTTTTGAGTTAAAAACCTCTCTAAATAATTTTTTTAAATATCAGCAAAATCTCATCTTTGCTTTAAACATTGTTTTAGTTGTGAGTGATCTTAGTTTTTTTAGTTTAAAGCCCCAACGGCGATAGCACCATTGCCTGCATGTCCATTTTCCCATTCAACATCTTTCAGTTGCCGTTGGTGGCCTCCAGTTGGCCAGTGGCTGCTCCCGCGGCCATCGCTGATCCCTGGCTGGAGTCCAGGCAGCGCAGCTTCTGGTACATGTGGATATAGTGGGCCTGCAGCTGCTTCTGGTAGCCGAGGACCTTGTCCTTCTCCGCGCACCACTGACGCTTCTCCAGCTCGAGATTCAGACGAAAATCGTCGAGTTTCTGCCGCAGCTTGGCTATATCCTCCGCATACGTGGTGGACTCCTCGATCAAAGTGTCCAGTGTTTGCTGCGGAGCCTGTCCCTGATCCAATTGCAATCGCTGCACTAGGACATCCGACTTGGGCAGCTCCTGAGGACATGTGGTTGCTACTGATGCTGCTGCTGCCGCCGGAGCTGCTGTTGCTGCTGTCGATGAAGTGGTGGTGTACTTTCGTGTCTTCTGGCAAATCTCGTTCAGGTTGTCCAGCTGCTGCTTCAATCGAGTGTATCGGCCACAGGGCTCTTCGCCATATTCATGGGCAATGGCCAGGTCGGAGAGCTCCTTGCGCAACTTGGCCAACTCGCTGGTCAGAGCTCCGATCACCTGATCCTTAAGCGTAATTATCTTTTGCAGTTGCTGCTGGTCCGGCTGAATTGGATGCTGATGTTGCTGATGATTAAGTTGTTGCTGTTGCTGCTGTTGTTGCTGTTGTTGCTGTTGTTGCTGTTGCTGTTGCTGCTGTTGCTGTTGCTGCTGTTGATATTGCTGCTGTTGATGTTGCAGTTGCTGCTGCTGTTCCTCCTTCGCCTGCTGCTTTGGTTGACTTTGGCTTGTGGTTGTGTCGCAGGTGTTGCTGCTGTTACTGTTGCTGTTGCTGTTGCTGTTTCTGCTGCTCCTGTTGCTGTTGCTACTGTGCTTCAGGCTGACAATCGCATGATCTTTCATGTTGATTTCCAGCTGCAACAAAGTGAAAGGTTTATTGGTGAAAAATACATTCAACTCAAAAAAATTTGTTTTGTCGTGTTGATATCCCCAAAAAAAGTGAAAAAATGACCCAAAAAAGTTGCAAGTTTTAATTTTGTCTAATATTTTTGATATGTAACTCAATTTTGGAACTCACATGCGCCTCCTTGAGCTGCGTCTTGAGTAAAGCTATCTCCCCGTTGCGCTCGCAGACGCGCCACTCGCTGTCCTCCAGCTGGTGACGCAGTGCGTCCACCTGCTGCTGCAATCCCTGGCTCGAGTCCCTGGCCAGATCCAGTTGCTGCTGCAGCCGGTTGACCTGCTCCGACTGGCGGAGCTTGTGCTGCTTCAGCTGGAACTGCTGCAGTCCGAGGAGCTGTTCCATCTTGCGCAGCTTCAGCTGGCACTCCCGCTGCTGCCCCTCGTAGAAAAGGCGCAGTCGCTGCGTCTCGTGCTCCCAGTAGACCTCCTTGTCCTGATCGAATTTTAATACATAAATATAAAATGAGATTAGGGGAGGCATTTAAAACGGACGAGTGGGCGGGCGAATGCCAGCTTAACCTTTTGAACTTGGAAAATTACTTTCTCATTGTGCTCCATGGCCTGTCGCAGGTACGAGAGCTCCGAGTCGCGATCCTTGAGCGCCGCCTCCAGTTCCGAGATCCCAGAATCCGAGGGCGAGGGCGTCAGGTCGCTGCTGCCCACCATTGTGCCACTGCTTTTGCTGCAGAGCAAATATAGAATAAATCACTAATTTCAAGGCATTTTAATTTAAAGAATTTCTAAGCATTTTCTGTATAAGCTTGAACCTTGAAAGTATTTAAATGTTATAGTTATAATAAGTAATGGGCCTAACCTGCTAGCTCCATCAGGTCTGTCGTGACTTCCTGCGCTCAAAAGGTCAAGGGTCAGGGCATCCTCATTGCTGGAACGCTGCAGTAAGCGAGGATTGCGACGCCGAGCGGCCAAATGACGCAGATCTGTAGTGCCTTTGATTAAATATAATAAAATAATAAATATAAAAAAGAATTTATATAAAATAAACAATGATTGAAGTGTTTTTTTTATATACTTTAACCAAAAACCTTTTTTCAATTTATTGTTTTTGAACTAAAGAGTAATGTGTTAATAAATTTATTTGAAATAACATTGATTGAAGTTGTAAGTAAATGAATGCTTTAGCTTTGGTATTAATATTTTATAAACTTTACTTTAACTAAAAACCTTTGTTGAATTTATTGTTTGTAGACTAAATTGTAATTGCTTAAAATACAACAGCAGACTTAAAAAAATAGAAACCGCAACCATATCTCGTCCACTTCTGAGATAATTTATTATTAATTGCTGAGAAATGCCCCAATGTCAAGTGAGTTCTTAATCTAGATTGAGCGGAATGTTAACTGCTACTCACTGCCAAATTTCTGAGCGACTGCGGTTGGCAGTGGGGCAAGCGATGGGGTCGATCCGTAGCCGTACCGCTCGGCCCCGCCCCCCGACTGCCCGCCCTCCGCCGCCAGCTGCAGAGCATTATGCTGCTGCTGTTGTTGCTGTTGCTGTTGCTGTTGTAGTTGCTGCTGCTGCTGGTGCTGGTGTTGCTGCAGCTGCAACTGTTGCTGCTGCTGCTGCAATTGCAATTGCTGCTGATGTTGCTGTTGCTGCTGACAGGCGATGCGATAGTCCGGCTCAAACGGAATTGGCTTAAAGGCGATCGGCCGCAGAAAGTTGCCGCTGGTCTGGAAAGTCAAATTAACCTGTTTACTAATAAATAAACCAAGCAACTAATTCTAAATTCTAAACAATACATTTTCAATTTTTTTTTTTGTCTTAATATGTTCAAATTGTGTTATATGACTCAAAATGAAATGTAATGATTGCAATCGATCATTATTTCATATCGTGTTTGCTTAATGTTTGCCCCACCTGTTCCGCCTCGCCCATTTGTTGTTGTTGTTGGCGACTTCCGCCGGTGATGGGCGTGGTCCGCCTCTGCTGCTGCAACTGCTGCGACTGCTGCTGCTGCTGTGGCAACGTTGCTGGCAGAGATTGCATCGCCTCCTCCTCGGATGCACCTCCTCCTCCGCCTCCGCCTCCTCCGCCGCCGACGCAACTGCGACTCAGCTCGAACATTTGCCGGATGTTCTGGAACTTGCTGCGCATCTGGAGGCCCACGGCCATGCCCACACCGACGCCCTCGTCATCGAGGTTGCTGTGACTGCCGAACTTCTGGCTAAGGCGCCGCTGCTCCTGCCGCGACTTCAGGGTGCCCGTGTGGAAGCCCTGTCCGTGTCCCTGTGCCTGCGCCTGCGCCTGGCCAAATTGCAGCAGCGGCGATCCCAGCGAGGATTGGCCCAAGCTGGGCGTGCTCCTTAGCGCCAGCGGTGCATTGTTCTCCAGCGAAACGCTACGCTTGTGGCCCCGCTTGCCCGCAGTCGGCAGGCTGAGATTGGAGCACCCGCTGCCCCCCAGCACCGGTGGAGTTCCCGGCGGCGGGACGACCGCGTGGGCAGGCAGCGCCATGTGCGTGGCAGCCGACATCCTGATCCCGAGGAGATCACTGGAAAAGAGGATTTATCTGAGTGAGTACAACTTCTAGAAAGTAAGTCATTAAGATATTTATCTGAGATGAAATATATATTATATTATTAGGGAGTTCAAAGTCTACAATAGCCATACAATATTGATTTGATTTCCGATTGATTTATTTTATTATTTATAATAAGTATATTGCTTCAAGTAATCTATTTTAATGTATGTATTTTAAAGGGCAAACGAAATTTCAAAGCAGAGAATTACACTTTTGCATTTAATAATCATTGAAATCTCAGAAAAATGTTCTTTATTATTCGCCATTAAACAATATTTTCTGGCTTGTTTGCCAGAAGCAGTTTCTCAGACTTAATCACACCTACAAATTGTATATTCAAATCAATTACTTTTTAATGAACCCAATAATTAATTTATATTTCACGCTCGAATCGGGGGCTCCACTTGTCTAGGCTACCTTTCATCCACAAAGTCTCTCCTATTTATCTTCCAAATCTCACATTGGCAGTCGTTTCCTTAACCGAATGTCGACCTTGTCTCATTGACAGTTTCGAACATGCAAGCAAATTAATAAGACAAAAGCGAAGGAGGCGGTTGAATACATTTATGGTGCTCAATTTATCAGCTAATGATGCTGACCAAATAGATCCCCGCTTGCAGTATTTCGCTAATGATTCAGAAAATATATTATTTTTTGATTTAAAAGTCCTTAAAACCTTTTGATATTAAAATCCTTTGATATTTCAAGTATTTATGTAGATTTTCTCAGTAACAGAAAAGCCAACCAATCCTTTTTTAAGGAAGCCAGATAATTCTTTACACCAGAACTTATCCCACATTTTTGCTACATTTGTTTCTATTTATTTGTAGCTTTTCCCTGGTTCCTTTTTGAGAATTTCTCGTTCTTTCTCCGGCTTTTTCTCCATCTTTCCCCAGAGCAGCGAGCAACATTCTCTGCGGCTATTTTCTGGCATCGTTCCATTTTCGCACGCTACTCGCTAGCGGTTCGAGTGCTTTTTTGGTGGTCTCCAATGGCCAAGGAGATGGGAATGGTGATGGGGGAAAGGGGGGAGGTGTGGCGATGGGGAGAAACCCCCTTTAAAAAAACCCGCTGCCATTAGTGGCTCTTCGATCGGTTGGCCAAGCCCAAGAGACTTGCATTCATAAAGTCGATTCTAACGGTCTGCGTCGCTGGCTCGCTGGCACTTTCTCATTTCTTGTCGCACGACCCATATTTTTACAACAATTTCCATCTGTCCGGCCAACTCGTTCGGGCCAAGATCGCGAGCCACTTGTAAGGTTCTGCGGCAACTGGTTTTTGGCCTGAAATTCAACACCCCCTGCCCCCCAGATTTCCCCTTCCCCTCTTTGGGCCACCAATCAATATGGTAAAACCCGCAATTGGGGTTAAGGTTAAGGTCAACGAAATGTGTCTCCTTTGGGAAACATCTCTTTATTTATGGCAGGGGTTCATTTTCGCCAACTGAAGTACGACTTCTTGGCAAGACGGACAGTGAGTTACAGCCAGGTTGGTTCACACTTTTTCAGGTGAGGGCCAAAGGTCTGTGCGTTGTACTTTGCTAAATTTCGAAATGGCCAAAACGTTTCGCAAACACACGCAATTTGTTTAAAATGAGTTACAGGCGAAGTTAAGGGTCACAAGCAATTTAGGTTTCTTTTTTTGGAAGTTATGTAAATGACATCTTAAAAAACTAGTATAAATTACAGAAAGCAAGGCAGAATTGTTTATTAAAATATTTTTAAATGCTTCAAAAGCTTTGAAACTTAACTCTTTCCAATGTTTAATTTAACTTTAGTTGATTGATTACCATTCTTGTAAAAGGATTTCCTTTAGCAATTTGCCTCTTTAATATTCATAGGCCAGATTTCATCCATCGAATAACTGCTTTTAATAACTCTTCAAGTCAACTATCACTTGGCAAGGCAAACGAAGTCGAGTCCATACAGAATCGGACCGCAATGGAGCCATTAAACTACTCTCATTCATTACGTGTTTCCTGCTTCCCGGAATCGTGAAGTATTGCCATTGTCAATCGTTGTTTTATCAGTGTGGCAACTGGTTACATTGTTGCTCCAGATATCGCCAGATAATGGCTGTTTGTATACCCCCCTCCAATAACCCCCCTCCCCCTCCCCCGCCTCTCCGCATTATAAACTTCTTGGGTTTCCCATGGCCCACGGTAGGTATACGATGGCATTTCCTTGGCGGCAAGTATCTCTCACTATTTCCACGCCGACTAACTGTTAAACACTTGTATTAAGTCGCAACGGTTAGCTAACTGTCAATCAAGCGATCGCGAACCATTGAAGCTCATCGGCAGCAGGTTGTGTATCCAATATGACCACGTATCCCCAGTGCAATTGTGCTCACAAAAATAGGAGTGCATATTTGATGTTTTAAATTGGATTCTGGTAAGTTGTTCCATAATATTTACTGTTTGTTTAAATATGGTGTAATTTATTACAATGATAAAAGAAGCGTTATAATGCAAAGACAATTTATATATAATTATATTTATATATCATATTATAATATTTTATGTATATTTTTTATTTGTTTTTTTTTTTTTTAGATAACTAATTTGATCTTATAAAATATCCCATTTTGAGTAGCACACTTTCTGAACTATTTTTGTACCCCCTGCTGTATCTGCGTAGCACTGCGGCTCTGTAACTCTGTGTGACCATTGTGTGGCCCGGCTTTGTATCTATTGGCCTGTTAAATGGCCAGCAATTTGCGGCCAAGAGTGGTGGGGGAAGGGGAGGGGAGGTGGCTTTGGGCCCTGCTGCAACCGGGACGGGAAATCTTAGACTCAAACAAAAGCCGCCAATCGGCGACAATTTCCAACGGCAAGACGACGTCGTTAAACTGCCAATGTAATTTATTTACTTCGCCTTGCGAAACACACGTCGAAAACATTCACAAATCACATTAGCAGCCAACTGTTAGATCGCCTGCGAAATGTATCTGCAGAATTGTATTCTGCCAGGGTGCGGAGAAGTACGAAATACAAAAATAACGCAAAATTATGGCCAAAAACCCAAGAGCCGAAAGTCCGAAACCCGTTTTTCGCGGCCAGTTCTTGATGGTCACTTCGATGTTTTAGTTTTTTTTTTCGTGTTTTTTCCGTTTTTTATTGTCTTCGCCTTTTTGAAAGTTTCTATGAATGAAAGTCTTTAAAGGCAGGCCAGATCATAACAACAGATCCGCATCGATATTCTTCGCCACAAAAAAAAAACAAAACCCAAAACAAAAAAAGAATGAGAAAAAATAAAAAGCCGAGTATCTTGACCCTTGCAGAGAATGCCACGCGGCGTATGAGTAATGTGCGTTGCAAGGGGAAGTCGTCATCCCAAATCGCAATTTGCAATTCGCAAATCCGAAACCGAAACCAAAACCACGAACTGGTCAAACTTGGCCGGCTGGCGGGGTTCGAGATTAGCCAATGCTTTTTCCCACGCTCGCCAGTTCGCAGTTTTATGCATACTGAGTGCTAACTACCTTCGGTTCATATATATACTATAGTATAGTGCCTCGCATCGGGGGCACAGTGGTCGCAGTTAAAGCCAGCCCGAGTGCACCGGCGATAAGATAGTGTTTCGAGTGGCTGAAATAGTGTCATTGGCCGGCATCGCAATCGATTTTGTTTACCAACTGGGGGGTTACGATTTTTGGGTCACCTTTTGAAGGGAAGATTTTCCAGGAAAATATGTTGCCACGAAAATAAGGCAAAGCACTTCAGTTATCAAAATAGCATCTAAGAATCTTATTGAAGTTCTGATAAATAATTTCATTGAAGAGGGTTTTAAAATGATTCCACAATATATAATTATAAATTTAGAAAAAATATAAAATAATAATCAGCAAAAAAAAATACGGTTAAGATTTTTGATCATGTTAACTTTGAACACTTATTTATTTTGTGTGAATAGTTGCCATTATGTTTGTATTGATTATTATTTACAAAGTTACAACTGCCAATCGCTATGAAAATGCACTTGCCGTAGAACGTATAAGTCACCTGCAGAGTTTCCGGCATTTTCAGGCCCACTGTGCACCGCGATTTGTGTTTGCGCTTTGTTTTGTTTACTTTTCGCTTGGCATTTTTTGTTCCTGCCATTCTGTTGCCGTTGCCGTTGCTGGCTTTTTGCATTCGCTCGGGTATCTCAAAGTGCGCCGAAGTATCGCTTAGTGAAAATGCCGCCGAGCCGGGGTTATTTATTGTCGATTGTGAATTTTTAATTGAATTCATTTAGACAAGAGCCGAGCGAGATAATTGCAATCGACGCTGGAAACGGAATCGAAGCGAATGGCTTTGCTTTTGCTTTTTGGTTTTTGGTTTTAACAACATTGCGCAGTCGCGCAGCCCAAAGACGAAGATACGAAACCGAAAATAAATAAACAAACCGAAAAAATTGTATAAGCGTGACGAAAGCCAAACTTTTCTTTTCTTCCATCATCATCTTTTTTCCAGGCGGCTATTATTTAGTGGAGTTTTTCATTTAGACGCAATCCAAGTGAGACCGATATGCATTTCAGGTTTTGGCTCATTTCGATTTTTGAGCTTTTCGATTGGGAAATTTTCGGTTTTCTTTCGGCATCGCTCACTTTCGATTATTGCAAAAGGTCAGCGGGCAGCGATGCATTTGGCTGTGACGACGATGACGATTACGATTACAATATAGATGCGACTATAGATGAATTGGTTTGCATATGCGGCTTACACAAATAAAAAATAAAACTGGAATTGGGAAAGGCGAAGGGCGAAAGGGGAGGCCCGCAATCAAAATTGAAATTGAAAATCCTCCACCTAACTCCGTATTTAAAATAAAAGCTTTTGTGTTGTGTGGACACGGGTGTGGCCTAAAAAAACCTATAAACTGTACCCAATGACCTTGAGCCGTGCTTATGAGCAGGAAATTTCGGACAAAAAGCAAACGCAGCTCGGATCACGTAAATACATTGTACAACTCTTCCCGGTTCGTTTG